TTGAACATATTTCTGATAATTATAGCAAGGCTCATTAAATTGCGAAAGTTTTTGCATGCAACATTGCTAAATCAGTTTAATAAACGATTTTCAGATCTCATTAATGAGTGAATTAATCAACCGTATTACATATTCAATTACTTTATTAGTAAAATGGGTAAATATAATTTATACAGGGTCCAAATATTAATTCAATTTTAATACTGCTTTCTACGTATGTAGGTATATTCAAAGACCTGAAACCACTTACGGAGTATGTCCTCGGTAATAATATGTTTAGTGTAATGTACGACGTGATCGCATCACTGGGTCCGCGTAATGCTAATTTCACTTTTATTATTATTTTCCAACTTGAATTCGCTTCAATTCGAATTATCTAGCATAAACTTCCAATAGTTAAACGTACGAAGGAGATCAAAGGCTGGACGATGTCAAGAGACATCGTCGATCAATGTCAGCGGCTAGCTCAAGTTTGCTGTGCACTGAAGCCCTGACTAATGCCGGTTAGTTATGCAGGGAATTTTATTAACTCTCATTTACCGTTGCCTCGTTAATTTTTAAACGTTAGAAAACGGTTCGAGTAATTGAAAAGGGACTTCAAAGGCTTTATCGTGTTGCGGCATAATGCGATACATTTGAAAACCTTTTCATTTGTTTATTTAAGCGAAGTTGTACTTTTGTGTGTTTGTTAATTTGATTTAGATTTGCTGTCGGCATTATTCAAATAGGCTTCAGTTGTCGTTCACGCTCACGGCGCACCCGTGCATGCGGCACGACGACGTCCTATTTCAACCAGAAAACGAGCAGCCACGTAACCAGAGTAAATGTACCTCCATAACAGTGCAACGCTTGTAATTAAAACAGCTGCTTTGTCGTTATAAAACTTTTGCGATTAAAAATCTAAACACCAACTTATCTGAGTTTTTAAGTAACACACTAAAGAAATCAATTATCGAAAATTAGATCGTTAAAGCTGTTCTAAGCTCCAGAAACGTAATTCTGAATCGTAATAAATTATCGTATTTATAAAATTAGAAATCTGCTCAAAGATGAAAGATATCATGCTTTCGAACTAAAGTTCGCCTTTATTATCGCTGCGATCGAAAGCTAGCGTTAACTGTTCGCTTATTTTTACAGTAAATAAATATAAGACAATTTGTAGACATCGTTCGATAGCTAAAAAGAGATAAAATCCGGCATTGTAGTTGCGATATTGAGGTCGTTTGCAGCGCGTTAATTAAAGATAACGAGTTAAATCTATTTATCCGCCTGCCATTAATAGTATAGCCATAGTAAATCCAGTTGCTTTGTTTAAATAAAAGACCATTGACCGAATTCTTCGTGTGGTTATCAAACGTTATACGATATACGAAATATTTAAATTCCCCAAATATTCATTTTTAATGCCGAGGATGAAATTATCGTATTATTTACGTTATAAGTTACTGTTAGTTAATATTTATGTTTTTCGATTCTCATCCTCGACGATTGCATGAAATCCAAAAGTTAATTGCAAGATTTGGTAGTAAAGATAGTGACGTGATCCATTTGATTGAGCGCGGAGGCAGCGTCGTGGCTCATGACGCAAAATCTCGCTAACCCACATGTACAAAGCTTACACATAAATTCATATCCTATACCAAGTGAATTAAAAATTGAACACCAGTAAACTGAAAAACTGTAATACATTACCATTGAAAATTTCAAGCTGGCTCTTGTTCAGCCAAGTCGCACTGTCAGGTCGTTGACTTGATATATATTAACTCCTGACTTAAGATATGCCAAAGAACGTGTAACTCAAACACCTATTTTTATGCAACATATAAAATACGCAATAAGTCTAATATTAAATTACAAAGAAATCCTTGAAATGTTGATTGGCTATACTTAAAAGAGACATTATGCGTTGTAGGTTTAACGAATTGTAAAAACCGCTTTTGTTATTAACAAACTAACTAACTCGCCTGTTTAGGAAACTGTATAACCTATAATAGAAATACATTTCGTTTATTTTTTGCATTTAGTGAGATACAATCAGTACCAAACATGAAAAAGATGAAACACGCCATAAACTAGAATTACATAAAAAAATTGTAGATGTCAAGACAAAAGTCACCATCCACCCGGTATTAAGAGTGGTTACCCGTTTAAATTTACAGAAATTTCTACGTAAATTCCGATATCCACCTTGAGACATGAGTTCGAAATTTCAATTGTACTATACAACGGTCTTTCAAACCTAGAACGTTCAAATTAGCACCCTAGATTGCTTTATATAAGGATGGCGATACTAATCCGTGCGGGCTCACAATGCACCCTACTATGTAGTAAGCTGGCGACCGCTGTACTCGTATGGTGAAACAGCAAAAGGTAATCCAGCCTTATATTTAAAATATAAAGTTAAATTAAATAGCTGTGTAGTATTTTCTTCGATTCTAGCGAGTCGTAGACATAATTAAAACTATTTTTACGACTTAATCTCGCGGTTTTTATTGTAACTATTTACTATTTTCGACTTTTTGAATACTTTACGGTTTTCTTAGCAACGGACGACGTAAAAATAGTTTTAATAATAAGTAGCTTTACCCATTAAAGCAGCCATTACGAACACTGATCCGAATTGATTGCAATAATGAGAAACGAAACAGTTAATAGTTACACCGGCTTCATTCGAGCAGTTCTTAGAAAAACCACAGCTGTGACCTTTACGCAAATTACAGGTACATTACTCTGCCTACGATATAACCGAGTACAACAATCGCGAAAGCAATAAAGTGTGATTAATAACTTACCAATTTAAAACTAATTAATAAACTATAAATATGAGGTGAGGGGCATATAAGTATTAGTGAAACGCACAAAATAACGTATTTACATTCTGTTTCGAGATGTTAGCGCACGTTATTGTTGCCGCTTTATTCGTGTTACGCTTAAAATAACGACGGAAAGACTGGACAACATTTATTATTCAAATTTTAAATATATCCGTGGTGCAAACTATATAGCATGCGAGTATTGTTTGCAATTTCGCATTTAACGATCCAACTATGTATAAGTAGCCCAATATAATTATTAATTTACGATCATCAGTAAACTGTAGTTTATATTCACGCTATGCAGTGAAACTTTGTTACTGAAACTTATGTAAGGCAAAAAAGGTTACTTGATTTAATATTTCCTAAATAACCACTTCTGTTCTATTTAATAAAAAAACAAAATATTCATTCGTCTATAAACTTAATGACTAAGTAATAACCTTAAAAACATAAGGTCGTGAAAATATAATTGGTTGATTTAGAAATTAATTTCAAATGACGAACTAAAAAGCTCACAATAAAATTACTTCCGCAATGTTTATTAAAAATTCGTTCTAGTAGTCGTTATTGCTTAAGATCAACATTAATTCAGTTATAAAAACACAACGAAATACACACACGTAATTATTTTCATTGCTTATACGTCAGTGAAATTATAGAAATAAATAATTTCTCACTAACGGTACAAAATCTTTACCTTGCACATTTAAAGCCTCATTTTAAGATTAATGTTTTTTATTTTTAAATTGAAACAGTTCTTATTTTAAGAAAAATAAATATCCCTCTAAGTGTCTGTGTTCTTAGATATTATGCAGTTATATAAAAGTTAGAACAGGTGTAAATAATATTTCGTAAAATATCAGCCACTGACCATTGTATCGGTTATCAGATGTAATATAATATTGGTTGTTTCGGTCCCTCGCACTTGCTCCAATTCATCGTGTCGTTTGACAGACCTTTCTCATCTTACGTCAAGTACGTGTCATGCAAATATAAATATATAATACAGGCAGGGAGCGTTTTCACTGAAAGTGCTGAAACTTAATGGAGGCTTAAAATAACTGTTTTAATTTTCGCAGGACGTAAAAAACGCTAATTATAATGTAGAAAGTAAGAAGCATGTATACGTCCATTACAATTACAAGCCGTGTGATGATCTCGTTTCGGCTTTCATCTTAAATTTAATGTTCGTTTTCTTGTATTGTGATTGTGTTGGTGCGGATTGCGACTAGAGGCCGGCGAGCACAAGCTCCGACGCTACGTGATGTCTGATAGGCAGTGCGCGTGACTCGCTCGCCCTGGTTTCGTACAGGATCTAAAGACACGAAAGAGCTTACTAATTAAACATTCAAACGCGCTCATATTTTGGTTAAGATTAAGTAACTGTATGGAAATTATTAATAACCCTTCTACGCCGCACCCATAGCAGGGCTAATCATAAGACCGTACGTGTAGGTAGAAACATCCTATTTTTGCCATGAAGCAGTCATGTGGTCTGATTTCAAAGGCAGGATAGATCTCATACAATACAATACAGAGACTGCGAACTTATATATCAATGTGAGTGGCACTATTCACATTTTTTATCTATGAACTCCAGTAACCACTTACCATCAGATAGGCCGTGAGCTCATTCACTTCTCTAAGTAATAATTCAAAGTCTAAAAATATTAAAATACGACAATTGATAAAAGACATTTTGTCGATATTTTTTTCCTTAGTTCTCCACTGTGGCTGAACCGATTCGAAAGTGAAATATTGTCAGTGATGTACATACTGAGGATAATTCGACATAATATTATGTTTTTATTTTATTCAAATCATTTAAAAAAGTTATTTAAATAAACTAGTTTGACGTCACATGATAGCATAATAGAGTAACTCCAACTGATGAATTTTTACAATTTAGTCCTTGGCATATGGCAGTACTTTTTAAATACGAACAGTCTAGTTCTTTGATTAAGCATTAAATTGTGAATCAAGCTGCAGTCTCGCAAACAAAAAAAAAATTATTATCATCTCACAATTACAATGGATACGGAACCAATAGTCATCATCGTAAAATGTACAATATTATATCAAAAAATAAGAACTTTAAGTTTAGTTCCATATAATTTTTAAGACTTAAATTTTTATGTTTCATATTTTAAAAAAAATACATTTATTTATTTTTTTCTTTTACAGATCAACTTCGAAAGTCGGACTTAGAAAAACCATGGCCAAAAGAATCACATTGAATATCAAATCTGCCAAGAACCTGGTCAACTAAGTTCTTGTCGAGCGGCTAATAGGGTTGGGGTGAATAATGGGAAAAAGGAACGTACGGATCAAGTTCGCACACTCGATTGGTCCGCCGATATACTCGAGCACGTTGGGCGCGTCCGAGTAGCACCCCAGCCCACATTTGCAACCACACTACCAGTTACCGACGCTGTAGCGACTGCCAATAAAGTACAAGTCATACCGGGTTTTACACTTATTTAATTTAGATATATTTACTTAAGTACAAAAAGTCACGAACTTGCAAATCGAACAATTCTAGACTGACGAGAGAACGAATTTTGATAATCGTTCTCCGTTGAATCACGGTAGTCATGACGACCACTGCCCCAGAACGGTCAAAGTCGGATTTCTTTGATTTCGTGACGTCCAACGAAGTTACGGATGCACAATATAAACAACAAATGCGATCTGTAAACGTGTTCATGGAATCGCCCGACTCTAGGTCGAATCCTTTGTTATCGGAGGAACCGAAAGAACAGAACAACAATAGCTTGTTAAGTGTTGCGACGACGCAGGCGAACACAAGCGCAATGACAGCCGCGACTACTTCTACTACACTACAAAGTTTTGACTCGATATGGAATGTAGATCGTGATCGAGATCGCTTGGACACTTCAATGTTAGAGGACTTAAATAAATTTAGTTATTGGAACCAAGATAGTGAAATAGCGGATACCCCCTGCACGGATACGACAATTTCAAATAAACTAATCAACAATACCGATGGTCAAATATATACTCTTACTGTCCTCAATCACGATATAACAGAAAACAGTTCAAGTCGCTATTGGAGTAAAGACGAAGACGTTTCTATGTCTAGTCCGGCAGACATAGAACCCAATCCTGCATTGGATCTGGAATCAATATTAAATATGAATGGATTCCCAAACGATTTCAACCAAGATCTCCCCAAACCTTTTCATTTTGAAGATGGTGATTCAGAGAGTCAAAACAATGATCTGAACTCAAGTAATCTAGTAAAAGTGGAACAATATTACGACGAAAACGAATATACAAACAGTGATAAGAATGATGACACGCAAAGTTCCTCTTTAATTGGTGCTGCAACTTTACTGGATACTCAAATCGAATTTAACAACAATAACAATGACTGGAAAGCAACAAATAACAATGCGAATGAATCTTTACTTAGAAGTGCATTACAGGGAAAAGCTTATTTCCGTACTGTTCAAAAAAGTACTGTTACTAAAATAGACGCCAATGCTGAATTGAAGCGAGTCATAATCAATAATAATAACAAAGCTGACGTACCATCTATGTACCAAGATGCAAAGGACGCCGACCCGGAATTATTGATGGCAATTTCACCTCCAAACGGAAATGTCAACATTTCAATTTTATTAGAGGATCCAAGCACAGCTGTTATAACTAATGGAGAAAACCCGACATCGACGCAGCAAAGCGTGGATGACATTTTGCTGTCTCAGTTGGATGCGAACTATCCTGAAGACTATGAAAAATTAAAAAGAATAGCCACGGAGCTTGGTGAATCAATGCAACCATTCTGCACTGTAGAACCCATTGATCCTACTCGAAGTGTCTACAACATCCATCATGTGAATGGTGAATTAGTGACGATGATTCCAGCTGGGGAAGTACAACTCCCTCATAACTTGCAAATAGTCACCGCTTCACCAGCAGTTACGAGCACAAAAAACACAAGTAAAAAATATAAGAGGATACAGAATAAAAATTCCCCGCCAAGTGCACAGCCGCAGTCTGGACCTGCCGTTCAAGCGGCTACTTCGACATCTAACGGAGTTCGAAAAGAGAGATCTCTGCATTACTGTTCTATTTGTTCAAAAGGGTTCAAAGATAAATATTCTGTAAACGTACACGTAAGAACACATACTGGGGAGAAACCGTTTACATGTTCCCTATGCGGAAAGAGTTTCAGACAGAAAGCACATCTCGCGAAGCACTACCAGACACACGTAGCACAAAAAGCGGCCGCCGCCAACGGCGCTGTCAAACCCAACAAGCAAAGGTAACTGCTACAAGTTCTGTGAGTCGCGCTTGTTCAGTTTCTGTAGTGTCGTTTACATTAAAAATCACGGTGATATGACTATAAATGTTTTTTAATGTATGTATGTAATCAAACATAAAGACTGACATATCACAGGAGAATTTGGTAAGGTGCTAGTAAAATAGAAAAAAAATATAGAGATAAAATGGCAGTTCACAAAGAGAGTTGGAGCATTCTCGGCTGCGTGTTACTTTGTTGATTTTGTATGTAATTCCGTCCGTTACCGAATATTATTTAGCGTAAAAAAAATCAGTAACACTGTTATTTTTTACTTCCACATTATTTTTAAGTGTGTACATTCCGTTTATTTATAGTCATGTAGGTAATTTAGATGCTGTTAGGTGATATTAACACGTTTTGTTGTTAGGTAGGCATTTTCTTTAGTCCTATAATAAATTTGATAACATTAATCGGCTTCAAAAAAATGTGTAGCTCATTGACAGTATCGAATAAAGGAAACATCAGATAAACAGGCAACAATGACGAGCAACGTTGGGATTACTCGCCGCCGCCGTAATTTCTCCCGCTGTGTGACCGACTAAACTTTCTAAAAATAAAAAATTACAGAGTAAAAGAACGAGTATTCTCAACCTACCATCTTTCACCGCTCGGTTATCGTATGTACTGTATTCTTCGCTAATGTTCGGTGTTCCTTGTTACATGCTAAACTCTTATACTAAACGTATACTTTTAGAACGCATTACGTAATGCTATCAAAAATTTCAACTGTTTTCTAGTAATAACTAAAAAAAAATTCAATGATGCAATTATCTATAAATCCATATCCGTCAGTTTAGTGAACGGTTTCTCACTCCTAGCATTACATCTTTCCCTCACATTGGGAGAGGCTTGATTGCTCTCAGATTGCTATAAATTATAAATACAAGTGGCGTTCAATCGCGGTCTTTAAAATTGTGCTCCCTTTCACGGCTAACCGATTCGCCTTTCTTTGTTCGTTCTATGTGTTCATAACGTGCCTCGCCCTATCATTATTATATCTATTAATAACTTGTACCCATAGCCATTGTTTACTAAAGCAACGGACTTCAACGCGATCGTTGTAGTACCTACTGAGCGCAATAATGTACAAATAGTAATTGATAAATAGAATGTACGTGCTCATATACGACAATCTTGAACATGGAATTGCATGAAAGTACACCCTGTGCTTTCTAGAGAAAGCAATTACCTGATATAGAGCAACTAACATACATATTATTACATATATTCAAAATTTCCACTACTTTTAAAGTGCTATAATATACTAACGTATGATGGTTACGTCCAAATGGACTTTCACTGTACGAATCAATTTAAAAATTATAATATTTTTCTATTTCAAAATGTAAGTTTGGAGAATGCATTGTGCTTGACCGCAAGCAAATAAACTGTCCATTAATGAACGCCATTACGAATACGTGTGATGAGTGATGATTTCGCTTTTGTAACAGGAAACTTTTTAGCAAAAATGTTTAACATGAAATTTTTGTATTGTTAAAAATTAAATCGTGAGTATAGTAAGTTGTGGGCGGGCTGTAATGCCTGCCCTGTCTAATCGTCGACGCGATGAGACGACGCCACTTGCGCTTCCTTATCTCTTGCTTCACTGCCTACGTAACTGCCGACATAAGATACTCAATTCTATATATAAATTCTTAAATATTTTTTGTCATAATTTTTTATGAAGAATTTATTACTATAAATTATATTTTAAACAACAAAATTAACTTTGAGTAAAACATGCTAAAAAATAATTAACAGTTTAATAATAGAACATAATATTTAAAGCACTAAGGTCGCATTGATATTTTGGCCTCCACACGTCAAACCTTTTGTATCATTCTATTAAAGTCACCAGCCCATGCAATTTCATTGGAACGATGTTGTAATAATTTTATTTTATCAAACGTAAGACTAGTCGGTTTATAAAAATTAACCAAGTATCATCATAGTTGATTCGGAAATATTTCCAAATTGACGCATAATCTCAGGCTTAATTTAATTTTAAACTTTCCTTGTTGGAGTTTACTCCTTAAGAATCGATTTACATATATAGGCCCGGGGTATGAAAATTATGGGGACCAAAATCGTACTAGAGAGTATAGCATGTCACACGAAATGCGTTATGCGCCTGATTGGCTCCTGATTGGCGCGCGCACGCATCACCTGATTGGCTCCTGATTGGCGCGCGCACGCATCACCTGATTCTTGCGCGCAGGTCCGCACTCAGGTAGCCGTGGCAGGATGATGCCACAGATTTTTTAACGTCAAAGAATTTAATAAGTATTTATTAACAGTTAATAAATTATTTATGAAATGCAATTTATCAAATGTATAATTAATAGAATAAAAATCTACCGTGCATAATCTAAGTATCATCAAAAATGCATTCATTTATACCCGTATTCCCTTATCTATTTATTTATTTTATAATCGTTCTTGAGGAGTAAACTCCAGTCGTGCGTCGGAGCGGACACACACACTTTTTTTTTTATTTAAGAATTGTGTTGAAATGTTTGACAGAAATAGGACAAATCAAATCGTGCCTGTTTTTAATTTTGACAACAGTCGAAATACGTAATTAGTAAAATTTACATTCAATGCCTACCTACTACTAAACGATTAATGGTACTTTTATTTTGAATTAATTACCGATAAAAACGTATTACAAGCAATCTGTAATATTGCGCACATATCTATGTGTAGTGTGCTAATTATTTTTCTTATTTCTTGCCAATTAAGATTTCAATGTTTCAATGTTTGCCTTCTAGCTGTTTTTCACGTGAGATTTATGATGTTTTTAGTTTTCTTTACGGAATTGTCTAATTATTTTTAAAACAGCCTTTTGTATTTCTCGTAAGTAATGAATGACTTTTATGACTGAAACTAGAAGAACTACGTTTGACGTTTTGCAACAACAATAATACTCGTACAATGAACAACGAAGCTTTTTATACTCTCGGTGTATGTGTACTTATAATATAGTTATAGAGCCAGAAGAACCTTCTTTGTCAATACTCATTATTTTGTAAATACGTACAGAAGTATGAGAAAAATTATTTGGGAAATAAATTTTTATACTCTACCACTTGTATCTCATTAGATGGTATTTTGAAAAGTTAGCGAATTTATAGATTTAATAAGTACTCGATAAGAAACATTGAGAGATTTACCAGTTTATATGTAAGATTATGGCTACCTTCATATAATTATGAGAGTGCATAAAATATGGTTGTTAATATATTCCTGTAATATATTATTGATATAAGTTAGTTTTTTGAGATCATTATTTGAAAAGGTTTATTATTAAAAAGGTTATTTGATCGATTGATTATTGCATTTGTTCCTGAGTTGATTTTTAGATTTTATCGATAACTTTAAGTTTTTATGTAATTTTGCATGATTAATTTAATTATATTATTTTAGAACCAGAATTTGAAGGTGACGTGGACATTTTGATTCAATTATGACTTAAAAAACATTAAATGACAATGAATAACAAAAGCGAAATTTATTAACTCAAAAAACTATACAATATAAACAAAAGTTTAAAGAGAACGTTAGAAAACCGCTACGTTAAGCAAAACTATATAACAAAAGTGTGTCCACATCACCTTCAATTATGATTGTCCTAAACACTCCATTATTTATTTATAGAATTATGTTAAAGACGTTAAAAAGAAAACAAAAACATATTTGTAATCTTAATAAACCGGAGCTGTGATTTTTTTGCTTATCTGTGTGTCTTTACAGTGTCACTAATGTATTTTTGCGTTGCAAAAATAATTCAGTACAATTGACACTGAGTCAAAAGCTGAAGTCGTCTATTATTACTAGTATACTTGCACAACAGCGAAAACCAGAAAAAAAACACTAAAGTGTTAACCACTGGGGAACATCGATTTTTTTTTAGTTTTCAGTTTTATTTTTATATTATCTTGATCTTTTTGGTGTCTAAAATTTAACACTATGGTGCTTTTAAAATTATCGAGAGTAATAAAAACAAAATATAATAAGCGCCGTAAAATCTTTTCACAATATTTGAGAAATTTAGAAATATCACGCTGTTAATTGTTTTATGACCCACGTAGAAATAAACAATCTGAGTAATTTTCTCAATATTATTCCAAAATTTTGAGAGCAACAATGATCGGCGACTTCAGTATTTATATCATTATCAGATGTGATCTGGTCAACTTAAAACAGTACCGAACCGTTAGGTACATATAATGTAATGTAGATACAATAACTTTTTACAAGATTTTTACAATTTTGTAATTTACTTCTTATATTTTTACTTTCCTATGTTAGTTTTCTAATAAAATGTTTTTATAATAAATACGTTAATTTTGTTTCTTTTATAAACCCTGAGTTCTGCGCAATTTTAAACAAATGAATTTTTATGTTAGCCTAAAAAAATACAGTACATATTACTACTAAAACTAATTACATGATTACGCTATAGACATTTTGAATTAAAAATTGCAGTCGAAGCCAAAGAAACAAGCAACAATAAATAGATCAAATCCAATTTAAACTATCACCAGATAATGGTCAAAGATTTTCTGTAGCAGATGTTTCATTCAGAACAACATAAATCGTTGTAACAGAGTACAAATCTTTGATGTCAAGGGAAAGTAAATGGAGTACCTACCTACGTACATACAAGTGGAGTACCTACATACATAAAACTGCAGGCAACTTCTGTAGACAAAGAACTGAACTTTATCTGATATTAACTAGGCTTAGCACTAGTTTTCGTTTGATAACTTTTACTTTGATTTTCCACAATTGATTCATATAATCATACATAATCATATCACAGTAATGTTCCAAATTTTGAACTTCGATTTACTACATTTCGTGTAATATTTGTGATGGATTATAATTAGGTGTGCCCGAAGAAAATATTTCAAAAACGTCTACGACTTTAAAAATGGTAAGATATAACTGAAATAGATGTACGTTTCCTTTTTTTATGACTAAAGGATTACTGGTGGCCCTGAGTCCTTTCCAGTTTCACCAGGACAGGTGGGCGAGCAAAGGCTCAGCCAGGAGGGAGTACATTTCCTTCCGTAATCTACATACATGTGAAAAAAACCATACAAACGTACATGTACCTATACATAACGTTACAATTGTATAAAATTAATCGCAATTAAAGTTTGCAGCGAACAAAGGCGTATATTAAGTAGACACAAACGAGTAGGTCCCTGGGTATTGTTTCTTGGCGGACAGTTCCGGCGCACACGCAGCGAGCTATGGGTGGTAATTAGCTCTATTGTCGACGCCGGTCAGATCCTATCGACGCCACAAATACTTCCGATGGATTTACGTACCTGCTTTCCACTCATTGTTTGCTCGTTCTTCATTAATCGCTCCGTTTAATGGCCTCATATTCTACGACTTTAGTTTGCTGGTGAGTGTAAGCACCCGAGCTGGGACGTAACACCTTCTTACCTATCGTCATCATCATAGTCAGTTACTTTTCGCAGAGCAGTCGTGGTCATGTGGAATCCTTGTTTATTAAGGCCTTGACAGCTGTTTTCGGTAATTCGCGAACTGATGTTTGACGCACGCACTCGTTAAGTGGAGTTTTGGTAAGGACGTTTACCTGATCAGTCCAACGCATGGGGCTTCGTTCACGAGATCTTTTACCATTGACCCTACCCTGAACAAGTTTTTCGATAGACTCCGCTGGCCGTCGCGACACGTGTCCAAAATGTCGGAGAATCCTGGATTGCTCTGTTGACGACAACCTTGCCTATATCTACCGCGAAACAACCCTTATACAACAAAATGGAGACTTCGATCTCGTGTCTTAATATGGGGGACCATTCACATTGTGATGCTTAAGGACCCTAGTTATCATTTTACTAATTGCCACAAGAATGAACTTTTAATAGAAGCCCAGAAGCCTTTCGGAGTAAACAAAAACCGAAAAATTCAACTTGACAGCTAAATAATTTAATTTCTAAATATTATTCATCGAACAAGTCGTCGACATGGCTGTTGAAAGTGAAATTATTTTTAAATAAAAATGCAGCAAAGCATGCAGTTTTTATACGTTCGCTTAATTTATTGTTGAAAATATCTGCAAGTAACGAATTAGCGCACAATAATGCTCATTGTCCCCTTGAACGAAAAATATATTTGGATATTTCACAATTGCAAACCGCTTGAGATATTAACGACCGCTAAGGTAAAATATCGTAAGTCTTTTTATCAAACTGGGTCACAATTGAAACCACACACACAAAATCTCTACGTTAGAGAAAGGTAAATAAAAAAATAAATAATTTACCATACTTGCTTTATGCGGTGGCTTAGCAATCCGAAAGACATCTTGGACTCCGACGCGAGAAATCTCCGTTCGTCTGTAATTTCCCCTAGTGTACGCTCCTTCTGTAATCTACAGCGTGCCATTTTACAACAGTGATGATAAGAAAATGTTGATTAAAAATAAACTGTATCTACTGCATTAGGGAGTAGTCCCCTGACAGTGTTTTGTTAACAAAAAACTCTTTCAAAATTGCTAAGTCCACACGGGTAAACACCCTCATTCTATCCCTGAAGTGGAATGATCACACCTTTAAAAGGTAGGACAGTCATAATCCTTTGCACTACTATGACTTTAGCCTTGTGCTTCAGGGTCGGTGGCATTATCGCTGAGAGGCTCACTCAGCGAGTCGTGATTCCAATCCGGTGGTAGATTCAGCGAAACACTGCTTTTGCTAGGGCCAATATTAGCAAATTCTTTCAGACTAAGACTGAGAATGGATAGAATACGGAATTAATATGTTAAATTTATTAAAAACTTATTAATGGATCCTAAATGTTAGAATTAAATACGATGTAACTGTGTATTGTGTATGCATGTATTGCGTGTATTAAGGCACAAATACAAATGGAAATTAACCTTATAATTTATTTTGTAAGCCTTTGAAAGAGCTGAAGTCTGTACTAGGTTCAAAGATCTGTATTACTGATGACCTGTTAGAGGAAGTCTGAAAGTGGCACCTTTGATAAAGAAGTTAAGAAGTGCGCATTTGAGATGGTATGATGGAGATGTGATGAGACGAAAAGACAATGAGGTTAATAAGTGAGCTTTAACTATGAATGTGGAAGGCTACAGAGGAAGAGGTAGACCTAAGAAGAAATGGATGAATTGCGTGAAAGACGATATGTGTAAGAGGGAAGTGAGCGAAGAAATGGTGTATGATAGAGGAGTATGGTAGGAGAAAACATGTTGCGCCGACCTCATGTGACTGGAAGAAGGGTAGAAGAATGATAAAACCCGTCAACTCGCCCACCAGTTACGGTGAAGCCAGAATAGCCCCCCGAGGCTACTGGCGATACGCAGGATAATGAAACAATAAAACTTGATACGTTCTAGGATCTCTGATAATCGTTTAACATCAACTAAGTCGTGATTTCGTGAAATGTCATCGATCATCATCCTAAACAATACAATCTATTTAGGGAGTTTTATTCCAATGCTCTTAACCGTATTCAGTTCGTTTTACAAATTTGGGGCCAAAAGCGAATTATTTGATCTAATTCTCATAACCTTAATGTTGCCGTAATTATAAGTACAGAAAATTTGTTGTCATGACAACAGCCACGTGATCCTATAACTATATATTCGTAAACAATGATATATTAGGAGTTATAATACATTAAAAACTACTCAAAATCTCATTCGTATCACTGGTTCTAAATTCAAATTCTACCGTGTTTGCTATTTTTCCAGTAATGCGTGTTGAAATTCGGCAGTTTTGTTTAATTAATCAGTATAATACAATAATAAAGGAAAACTAAGTGGATATTAGAACATTATTAAAAACAAAAGAAGTACTATTTCTAAGCTTTTTAAAAAAGTTCCTATTTAAATTGTCATCCTTGTTGGCGTTATGAAATGCGTAAAATGTAAAAATAAATGAAGATTATATAATAGTATTATCAATAAATGAGTGATTGACTTGATTGTGATGAAGCATTTTTAATTCTGAATAAGCCTATACATATATAGGTATATATATAAAAATGGAAAATTACAGAAAGTTTAAATTCATGAAATCGTTACTATTTTGGCCGCAAAATTGAAAACGATTTATGGATTCGTCTTCTTCTCAGTCTTACATTCCTGGTAGAGTAGTCTTGGTTATGTATTGTCTTGCTGCTTGGTCGCGGCCTTTATAGACAGAATCATAACAATATGTAAGTATACAATGCAAGGTGCACGAGACTTGTATGACTGCATCAATAGGAAATCGATAAAGTAAAATTGCGGCCAGTAAAAAGTGATATTACCTTATAATTATATTACAAGTCAAAGTTATGAGTTCAAGAAACCGAGCAGAATAACGGAAGTGAAGTAGCCGACCTTACTATGTGACCGGTCTACGCTTATATGCGCGCTCGAGTGCCAATAAAATACAACCAATATGCTCATAAGCACAATATGATTATGCTACATACCTAGAATTTTTCGTGAGCTCTTGAACGTTGAAGAAAACAGATGAGAGAAGGCATAGTGCTATAGTGAACACTTAATGTAAACCGACATGTGAATATTTCAAGGCGCTTAACTTTCTCTGCGTGATGGGCCGTCAATCATCATAAATTAGAGATGATTTTCCAGTTATCACACCGATACAATTTCGTACTTGTATACTCGCTCGACACAAACATAAACCAGTTGTACGACGTTGTAAATGTACTTACTTGTACATATTTTCTTAAGCACTAGAAAATTTACTTGTTTTACATTTTTCTTCTTTCATAAACACAAGCCAACGTTCGTATATCGAAAACATAATCGAGTAATAGCAGGAAAACAGTCACATATGAAGCTGATTTTATTATAACATAAAATATTTGTAAATAAATACTTATGCCGTTTATTTCATTTGCCGATCTGATACACAAACATGGTCCATTACGCCAATATAGTTAGTTACATTGCTGAATATACCTATGTATGTGATTGTGATCACCGATGGCAACTTTTATTCGATCTTAAAATGATCTTAAATCTATAATCGCATTACACAGCTCCACAATATGCGGATTTCCATTCAATGTATCTATAATGTTGACAAAACTTTATTGCTCTTTTCTCCGTTTTAAAACTATTAGAATTTTAAATGAGCGGTGTTTTTTGTATAGACTTTTTGGATGAGATTGACTAGAGTGAGTGATAGAGTAATTTTATTTATGAATGGTTAATTTTATATGATTAGTTTCAACGAATCGTATAGAATTAGTAAAAGTAGTTAAAGTTAAAATTATTTAGTACTTAACGTTTACGGCAGGCAACGGCTTGGCTCTGCCCCTGGCATTGCTGAAGTTTATGGGCGACGGTGACCACTCACCATCATGTGGGCCTAATGCTCGTCTGCCTACAAGGGCAATAAAAACAGAAGTAAATATGCTACTATGATCTTAAAATTACTTTAAATTTATATTTAAAATTGGTCTTTCCACTTAGACAAACGGACTCAAAATGTTTAAATTGCGTAAAGAAAACATACTGCCGTTTGAATTTCACAATTTTTCCAAACGCACATCACTAAAGAAATGATAAATGATACGTAAACTGGAAACAAAGGTTAATGTTAACGCATCATTAGCATCATCGTAGTTCTGAGCTAAAACCGAATAAGTGTGTAGTAAGCGATTTGCAATATTACAAACGAACATTTCGCTGCAAATGTCTTTCAGGAACTTACAATTGTCAACCCTCTAATAAATTTACATAAATACTCTAGCAGCAAAGGAAATAAAATATATTTTTATTTCAAAAAAGATCATGCGAGTAGTTGAAAAAATATATATCGTATGTGCTAATAATAAAACTAAATAAAGTGCCGTCGTAAAAACTAAATAAACTCGTTTTCAATATCTTATTTACACGCATGTACTACAATTTATTTTATTCTTGTGTAGATGAATAAAGGAGCGCTAGGTCCATCTGATCTAAAGTGGTTACCAGAGCCCTGAACATTATAACCTAAATGCTGCCACTCAGCTTGAACCTTGAGCTTGAAGAATAGTTTTACACAATGGCTGCCAAAAACTTCAAATCGGAACGCAAAATCCTCAATCCAACAAAACCCTACCACTAATAGCGTAGTTATGCAAACGTTTATTTGAAAACCCAATGCTATTTCTTCATCCTGGAAGTCACTCGTGAGCATCTGCTAAGTTCGTATTCCTTAGAAAAAAAATTTTAAAACTACCGGATTTGAACACTGACATAGTTGCACAGCTACGATACAGATACGAGCACCGGTCGTCTTATCCTTCCTTGGTATCCTGTCGTATCGTATCATATCCTTTAGGTACTGACTCCATTGACAGACTTGATGCCAGGGATAAGTATATTATTATTAGATATGTCAATAAGATATTCACTAGCAGTCAAATTGAATTTTGAACTGAATGAATGAACTTTAATTTTGAAATTTTTGAAAGCATTATCATCAAAAGGGATTGTAGAAAATACTGACAATACATAACATATGCATTGACTTATAACATATACATATATCGATATCCATATGCCATTTTACTAAAATTATGCACTCAAATACTATTTTAAAAATAAACGGGATTTTACTGCGTAAATTTTCTAAGTATAAATTTATATTCATTGCACGATCTGATTAGCATGGCAGTGCATTCGTTTTACATAATTTTGTCAAGGCTACACTTTGTTGTCTGCAATCATGGATTTAAAGTATAATATGAAAAAAATATCGTATCCTTTTCAACTTTTTAACTAAAATAACTTTAGATGAATGATATTAAATTAAACTAAGGAATCACATAAAATAAAAAATCAACGATAGTATAATAGGCAGTATGTAACACTAAAGGTAATAAATAAAAAAGTAATAATTAAGTTAGGTTTTATTAAATAAAAATTAGCATTATTATTTTTCACATTACATCTATTTTGTTAACAAACCAATAATCTACGTTTATCAGAGAATTGGAAACCAATGACAGTTTTTAAAATTTACAAATACGAATACTAACAAATAATTTACTAAAATATTTAAACTATCAAAATAATTTCGTTTTCTCTTTCTCTCTATCTATCCTCTCTCTTTCTCTCACTTAACAGGTGAACAATGAGATTCCATGTTAGAGTTAAAGCACAATATTTTAATTGAATACCAAATAGATTTATTTAGTTCAAAAATCTGTGTGGCAAGCAAGCAAAGAAACAAGTCGGGCGATATTTAATACACGAGGTGCGCTCGAAGTGATTCCTTGACGTTACCGAATTCACAGATGCAGAAGCAAGATTAATTGATCATGAGTGTCCATCACTATATGGATATCAAATATCCCTGTCTAGATATAACACTAACAATAGTAGTTGGAGCTCTCTTCAATTATATACGAATGCTACGAATGGTACGAATGCTATACACAAATTGTCAACATAACACGTTAAAAAAATAACAATTGTCAACTGGGAAAATCGATTTTGCTGCGAATTAACATAATTGACAAGATGTAACCCTAAAGATTAAATCTAGTCATCTCATTTTGTTACGCTTGAATACATAAACAAAAAACTTTTTCTGTTATCCTCCATTAATTGTTACCAAAATAAATTAAAACAAATTTTACTTAGTATACATTCAAAACATACAAACTTTGAAGACCATTCCAAAATACAATAATAAAATATGTATCAATCAGTCAAAATGATAATGCATTTCGACGCTTGAAAGGCAAACGTGATTAAGCGACAATGCGTGAACTTTACAGTAGACTAATTTAAAGTTAAAATACCTGAAAAAAAATCTATTTTAACGAATCTAGCTGTAGGATTAAAATGATTTTAATAGACCTAGAAATTAATTTTTTTTACACATCGAATATGGTTATTGCCTATCATTTATGTACAAAGCAGTTATTGTCGTTTAGTCACGTTTGCCGTTCAAGCTTCGATATGGTTAATATGTAATTTACACACAAAAAATATTCGAATTAAAACTGTTAACGCATACACACAAACACATTAAGCAATCAATACTTCTTAGGATCCCTGTAAACGCCCATGAACAAAATAGAACTGGTTGGACGTTCGTATAGAACGTATACGAAAGGGAAGTTGGCAACGAAGCGGGTCGGTTCTGCAGGTCGAGACGAACGGAACCCGAAGATGGCGGTCGCAGCTGCTGCCACAGTACCTGGGAGTCACATTTTAATAAGAACTAGTGGTCTCGCAGTACTCCAAATTCGACTTTATTTAATCCTACATATTTCTTTAGTCAGAGATTTCGCCAAGACTACTCTATAGACAAATAATATTAAAGATAAAAAATATTAACCTATTCTCAAATTGACCACAGACTTAAGCAGTAACAAAAGTTTGACAATAAACAATAGTACATTGTGCACCAAGGAAGAAAAGTAGGACATTTCCTCCCGCCTGTAAAATTGCGGTAACACGTGGGATGAGATGTCCTGTACGATGTTAAAAAAATCGAGTTGTAACTGGATATATTTTTATGCAAGAAAAAATGTAAGCATCACAATCGTGCGCGGGAATTTTTTTATTCACGTCATGTTGTTTAATAAATCACGTAACCGCTTATCATCGGACAGGCTCTGAGCTCGTCTGGATATTTACGAGAGTAGATGCTTATTGATGAAACACCTTATTAGAATCAATTCGTTACAAACCTTCAAAAACTTGATAACATATTATATTACGAAGGATGAGAAAAATAGAACAAATATCTAATATCTGCTGATAGAGTATCTAGAGTATATCTGTAGTAAAAACCAATTTTTTTTCAGACAACCTTAGAACGAAAATAAGGATTCCGTGAGAATGAAAGGAAATTGATATATTATTATCTACACTAATATTATAAAGCTGAAGAGCTTGTTTGTTTGAACGCGCTAATCTCAGGAACTACTGGTCCGATTTGAAAAATTCTTTCAGTGTTAGATAACCCATTTATTAAGGAAGGCTATAGGGTATATAACATCACGCTAGGACCGATACAAGTGGAGCATCAATAAATAATGTTTCAAAATAGGGGCTAAAATAGCTCCTTAACATTCTAATATATAATTCAAAAATATTTTCACTTTCTACGTTCTTTTTTTTTTATTGCTTAGATGTGTGGACGAGCTCACAGCCCACCTGGTGTTATAAGTGGTTATTGGAGCCCATAGACATCCACAACGTAAATGCGCCACCCACCTTGAGATATAAGTTCTAAGGTCTCAAGTTTAGTTACGACGGCTGCCCCGCCCTTCAAGCCGAAACGCATTACTGCTTCACGGCAGAAATAGGCAGAGTGGTGGTACCTACCCGCGCGGACTCACAAGTGGTCCTACCACCAGTGATTACGCAAATTATAATTTTGTTCTACGCGGACGGAGACGCGGGCAAAAGCTAGTAAAATAGATAAAATAGATACCTTCTTCGTTAACGTCAATCTTTGCTTTATGTATAGCATCATCGAACAGAATGCCGTGTTGCTCTGTCAACGTACTGAAGTCAGCTGTTCCATTGAACAGATCTCCGACCCCAAGTTTTTCCAGGATCTGAAATAAAATTAAAATGACAATTAATGTGACAGCTAAAACTGTATTTCCAGAAATTACTCCTGAATTTATTTCTTATTTATGTAAATGAATACATGAAGAGTTTCATGTACATTCATGTAATCACGTACATTTATTGCAAACAAACAGATAAAAAAATATATTCAAAAATTCAACTAATTAAGTTCATTATATTGTGTTTCTAATATTGGTCAATTAGAATTCAGTCTGCCTATACGCCACAAAATAAAGCCTAATGATCTAAAACGATACCAGGAATAACCAGTAAACAAAGACTGCAGTATCTACTTCTATTCACAAAAAACTAAATCGGATATTTTTAAAATTAATGTGGCAAAGTATTCCGTCGTCGAAAGCAGAAGTCTCACAGTTTTGTTAGACTGCTATAGTTATAGACAACTAGCTATATCCGTCCGCTTCGCTGGGCTTTTAAAGTTAACATTATTATTTCTCACCCCCACAAAGATTCTCATCATTAACGTCCCCGCAACTGGTGTGGGAAGTCCAACACTCATATAAATATTAGCTTATCCATTAAGTACATGTATTTTCTACAGGGATACTAAGTTTGAAGTCAATCGGATGCACGATTCAGTAGTTATAACAGAACATCCGTAAAAACCACTGTAAATTTATATATTAGTATAGATGCGTATGCCTCCTTTCCACAGGTAACTTGTGGTGGCACTGTCAATTGCATTTCTCATAACAAAAACCAGATTGGTCGGTCACAATTGCGACATATGTACAAGCTCTTAATACGAGCTACTTACAAATCTTCCGATGACAGTCGGTGTTGAATATAGATCGATATGATTTGCATCATATAAGTTTCGTACTATAGAAAAAAATGTTAAGAAATACGTGTTATTCGAATAGTTTATTCGTAGGCATGCTTTCATTTGGCGATAAATTACTCTGATCACTTGTGAATAGAAACTTAAACTGACGAATTTAATTATTAAGTACCGGAGTTCATAGACACTATATGAGTGACCACCATAATTGAAGAGTCCCTCCTGGCTGAGCCTTTGCTCACCCACCTGTCCTGGTAAAACTAGAAAAGCCTCCGGGCCACCAATAAATTCTCAAACATAAAAAAAAACTGAAGAGTTCAATGTCATATTTTCACTGGTACAACGATTCGTCTTATCCTGCATCGAAATGTACTGTTAGACGTAATGAAGGATTGATTTCATTAAATGCTTACTTCTCTAAGTGGTAGCGACCTCTCCATGGAAAACTTAGGAATCTCAACGATGACTTCTCTGCCCATATAGCTCTCTTCTACCACAGCAGCCAGACGCTCGGGGGTCAAGTTAGCGATAATATTACTCACTCCTACAAAAAATATACAGAAGAACATTAAATCGCAAACAGTTATTACGAACCAGTTTTCGTTCCTAGATTCCGGTTTTTCACGCCTTTATAGTTACACATTATACAAAGATTACATCTAAATGTATGGCGTATATTTATTTACATTAAATATGTTTAGCAGTACTTAGCGGTATCAGAAATAGATATTCTCACGGAATAGATAAATAAGGTTATTTATCTATTCCTAACCTTATTCTAACCTTATTTATCTATTCCGTGGATATTCTGATGGGGCAGTCAGAGCCCTTGCGTTTATCTTTAACTCTTTTTACTTTTGTAAATCTGTACATAGGTACATAAATTATATTAAATGCAACTGCTAGATATTCTATTAATAATACTAATAACATTTCAAATAAATAGGTCAGTTGCAAAGAGTAGCAAGTCTGATATTCAGATTTTTTTAAGAATTATTCCTTTAATTAAAGCCCTCATTTTCTATAAGATAGAGTATTCTTTTACGTCAGTGATTTAAATAAGTATCTTATTTATCAGTAAAATTATCACATGTGATCGAACATTTTAATTATCTTTCAAGAGCATACATAGTTTTTCTTTGTTACTAAATATCTGTACTTTAAGAACGATTTCAGCATAAAAGGACAATAAAAATGAACCGCTCAAAATTTTTTGTCTGTTTTTTTATGTTTATATACCTATAACGAAAAACCTACTGGTCGAAATTTAATGAAATTTTCTGCATTTATAATTTTTCCATTAAACCTGATTTGAACTTCCATTGTAATGTGTAATTAAGTGTAATTAGTATTTATGACAAATGCAATGCGGTTGGTCACTGGGCAACTTGTTAGAAAAAAATGATCCTTACCTTCCTTCATAGAGTAAGGCGGTAGTAGAATGTACATGCTGATGTCACTGCCTTTGTACGGAAGCTCCAAAATCTGTGCGCCGAGTTCATCGCTCACCACTGTGAACACATTATGTCACACAAGTTAGTATAGATTACGAACATAATTTACATAAATTACAAACATAATATAGATTACAAACTCTTTACAGGTAAATGTTCTTGCATAATAACAGACTCAGTGTTGCAGTTTTATGTCAGCGTAACCGGGCGAGTAGGTGAGCTCACGGGGCTCAAACCGGGAGTGTTGCTAACACGGGCCCTAGCAAGAGCAGTGCTTCGCAGAATCTTCCACCGGATCGGAAACGCGACCCACTGAGAAGATCCGGCGAGAAACTCAGTGAGCTGTGTCTATGGGTTAATTTACTCGTCGAGCCCTTCGTCGCAAGCGACTGGTTCAGCGAGGACGGTGACCGGGTGTTGCAGTAGTTAACGTTCCAGACTGCTGAACCGAGGTTCGTGGGTTCAATTACCGCATCGGACTAACATTTTTGTAATGAACAGGTTTATTTGTTTTTTTCTGGGTGATTAATATTTATGTATGGATATATTTAAGCGTATATAAGTATGTATATATTAGTCTCTTGTTCCCATAGTACAGGGAATCTTAGTTTGGACCAAATGGCGGTATGTGACTTGTCGCTGACAATTAATTTAGTTCCGATTACCAGTAACTGTGTTCTACGTTAATGGTAAATTATTGAAATGCTTAATAAACAATTGGTAAATTAATAAACTGACACCTACTTAGACGATTTGTACCGATACGAATGTATTAGACATCGCACCTCTTAAGCGCTTCAAGTATCAAGAGAAGTAGTAGAAGTATTAAAAAGTATCAAGAATGTGTCGAAATTGAAACGGAACTTACTATAATGAAAAGTTCCTTTTTGTTTCATGAACGGAACAAGAGTTTGTCTGGTTTCCGAAACGAAGAAAGCTTCTTTTCTTGTTCTCTCGACAGGGAATTTAGACGCCCAAACACCTTTAAAGTAAGCAGCGTTGGCCAGGACGAGTCTAGTAGCCTGAGATATCCCAGAGGCGGGTATTAAATCAGATATATGGTTCTTGGTAACACGAGACACCCAGCTATTGATGTAGTCACGGGCAGCGCCAGGATTTTCCCGGAAATTCTGTAAGTTGAGAAATCACTTATAGCATCAGCGAGAAAAAGAGAAAAAACAACAAATAATACTATTTATATTAAAAGCTTAAAGCCGTAGACTTAAAATTATTAATTTTACGAATAAACAGAACCTGTTACTGTCGAAGGTCGTCAAACACATAAAGTTTATCGAGATCATTACCACGTTTAAAATTTTAATTACATTTAATTAATATTACACGCATTATTTGCACGAGTCCCATTATACTTTTAACGTCCAGGATAGATTTCACTCGTCAAGTTTCCTCATATTTACAGACTAGTGTAAATAAAATATAGTAAAAATGTTAATGTATACATTAATTATAATAGAATCGATGAATATAATGCCAATGATCCTTGGCATTATTCATATAAAAATATATAATGCCAAGGATCTGAATTCAATTTTTTTTATGATGTCTTGCACTAAAGATCTGCATTTGTTAACCCAAATTAAGTGAAAAGAAAGTATTTACCTTCTTAATGTAAATATTTTAAAACAATGTTTTGTAATGCGCGATCTTATCATTAATGGCGTTTGTTCCGGACAGATTCACAGTTTAAGGTTTTAATATAAAAAAAAAAACTTACCAAAGTCTCGAGATCTTCGGCAAAGAGATCAAGCATGCATTGTCGCACATTAAGATCATCAGCTGCGAACAGTTTGTTCGCGCTCGTAAACTCATAACTATCGCTGTTGTTGTTTATACCGCGAGCTCGTTTGTCTACTTTATACGCAGTCATTAAGTTTATCTTATCCTGTAAAAAAAAACGCAATATTAAAAACATCATTACGCGAAATTCCCAAAAAAAAAAAAAACAATAAAAAACAACGATTACTAATTAATAAAATTACATTGTGAACATTCATATTATTCATATATTATTTCGTATAACATTATTTCTTACTGGTGGTAGGACCTCTTGTGAGTCCGCACGGGTACGTACCAGTAATGCGTTTCGGTTTGAAGGGTGGGGCAGCCGTTGTAACTATACTTGAGACCTTAGAACTTATATCTCAAGGTGGGTGGCGCATTCAAGTTGTAGATGTCTATGGGCTCCACTTAACACCAGGTGGGCTGTGAGCTCGTCCACCCATCTAAGCAATAAAAAAAATAAAAAATAATTATTAATGGACTCACCAATCCATCTTCGATTTCTAAAGATTTCCTCAGAGCTTCTTCAGTTTGTCCGCCGGATGAGAGATACGCAAGTAGTAATGAGTGGTATACCGAGAAAGGTGAGAAGAATATGTTGTCATCGGGTACAGCGTCGTTGATTGTATTAAAAAGATTTAACGTGAATCCCAACTGGCCGTTATACAAAGCGGTCCGCGCCTCCGGATTCAGTTTTTTAGAAGAGTCATCTTTGTAGAAGCACTGGCTGGTAACCGTCGAAACGACGAACAATACCACAATTAGACACCTCAGCATTGTGGTTCTGTAACAATATTGAACATAATCAAAAATATGGAAACAAAGAACGTATTTTAATTTATCTGTAATTTATATGTAAGACTAATTTTTTATTTATTGCTTAGATGGGTGGACGACCTCACAGCCCTGGTGTTAAGTGGTTACTGGAGCCCATAGTACAACGTAAATGCGCCACCCACCTTGAGATATAAGTTCTAAGGTCTCAAGTATAATTACAGCTTAGTTAGTTTACAACCTGCTTTAAGACGGAGCTCACGTTCCACTTAGTGCAAAACTCAATTACATTGGACTATCAACTATTGGATCCCATGATTGCTTGGCAACAGAAAGAGAGGAATAGGCTGCACCACGGCTGATTTTGGAAAATGAATTAACAGTTCTACTACGTGTGGACGAATGTTTGATATTCATCATTTCTGATTAAATGCAACCATATACTTAAATGATTATGTTTGAAGTTGTATGAAAAGTGATTAATATGGAATATTTTTTTAAAAAAAGAAAAAATAATTTTGAAAAATACAAATACAATAAAATTTTGCTAATAAAGTTACATAAAACAGCAGTTCTAATTTCAATCTCTTAAACGAGAACAATTGTTGATCTAGTCGAAATTACCGAAGAGATTGGTAGTAAGTAGATTTCGCCGCTTTCTCCGCGCCGTCGGGCCACCGACCGGTGACTGAGTCGTGTAAGCGCAATAACACATCACTTATCTCATCAACGTTTGATAAATAAAACGATACGATAAATGACTGGCATCTATCTGTCTTGTACGGAAGTATGAGTAAACATAGCTGACCAACTTAATTCGCTAACGATCCAAGCATGTTTAAATACCGACCTACTCAAAGAGACGACACATCTGACACACACCGATCAATCATAACTTCCTGACCCGTCCAGCGGTAAATGCTTCATTTGAACCTAATTGGCTTCGTTCACATATTCAACGAAGTCTGAACATTAAAATGTCAGAGTCGATTTGTTACGAACGAGTCCAGCCACGACGGAATGGCCCTGATTGGATTGGTTGCGCTGGCGCAGTGTGGGAAAACCCCACAATCCAGAACGGTCGGTCACGCTGTTTCCATTGAAAGTGATCCTCAGTGATCGAGGTCTCGAATACAGTCAGTAATTTCAATCACATGTACATTACGTATAATGTATTAGATATAACTGTAAGTAGATTACTATCAGCGATATTTGATGGTATGTTTTAAAATCTGATAATTGAAACAAAAAACTAAAGTTGTTTTTTTTTCTTTAAGTATGATTAAGGCTACATTTACAAATAATTATCATTTCTGATCTCAATTAAATATATATATAAAAATAAACGGCCGTTATCTGAAAATTTAAACCAGAACGATTAATAAATACCTCAGTCGTCCATAAACACAAAAACAGCAAAACGTTCGAAACGTCGGCGTTAAGAAAAAGGAAATAATGAACGCGAGATTAAACCGTAAAAGTAATTTCAATTATATTTTAAACGTTGTAAAAGAAAATAAATAGCATCCGATTATTGGTTGTTACTGAATAAATATTGCGTACGAACAGCTACGTCGAAGGGAATCCCGGTGTCGGATAGAGAGTAGGTCACGTCCACAACTGCTGTATTCAGTCGATATTACAAGCGGATTTTATTTCCGACCACACCAAGAGCAGTACAGCGAAAGTTTGACACGTCATCATCCTCGACACATTTGCTACACGTTACACAACCGCCGGAACGGTTAAGCGTGTCAATGCGAATGATGCTTAAGAATAAAATCCGTCAATAGCCTTTTTCGGAAAACATTAATATAATAAAGGCGTCGTCTGGTTTCTTCTTGCTGGTTTAGTTGTCAGAATCAACATCAAACGTATTTCGATCATTTCAATATCAAATACTAGGTTTTAATTTTGACTAACTTCAATCGGTGAAGCTGTTCTGAGTTTATTAATTTATGATTGTAAACAACATTAAAAAATAGCAAACCAACTTCAACAAAATAAAATGAGAATATTATCAATGCAATCGAAGTCAATTAATATGCACATGCATCATTAACGATAACTAAAAAAGTACTACTAAAAAATAATTTTAATGGGACTACACGATAAAAGTTCTGAGAAACATAAAAAACAGTCGAACTGACAGAAGCCTTCTTTGTTGAATTCGGTTAACAATGCGTTCAATCTCTTACTTTGCAAATTAATTATTTTTGTAATTTGTTGGGTATTTCCAAATTAATTATATTAATTTTAATACTTCATGGTATCAACCAAACAGTAGACTCGTACACAAATTTATTTCCAAAATATCACGTTTCTAAATGTGTTTTATAAAAATGATTCACAAAATACTCGAAACACGTTCCTGGAAAATTCATGTGGTTACGTACTCAAGTCTGTGTAAGCATAACCATTATTTCTTTCTCGGTACAGAATGTTCTTTGGAAACTCTTCTTCACAAAGGTGATGTAATAATGTAACACGGGAAATAAGTTGTTAAACAAATACTTCTCTAGAACTAGAAATTTAGTGGGGAAAAATCTTCACAAATTAATAATTTTATTACCGATAGTTAAATTGAAAACCAATATTTGATATTCTATACTGGGAACAACAAAAGGAAGATCTTCGACAGAGCCTGGTAGATCGTAGTTCTAATCATTTTTCCTGCTTTCTTTTGCATCAAAACGCTCTTGCGTTCTAGTTTTAAGGGTCCTTTAATCTTTCTGCAGCATGTGCAGTGTGATGCTAATAAATGTGGGGATACAATAAGTTTATTCGAGAAACCTATGACATCATGACCTATGTAAGTGTGGTGTTTGCTCACGTGGTCCGTACACGAGTTAACACTCCCCAATCCTGTTTCTGCAGTATAGAAGTCGGAGCACCGTGGTATGTGAGGAAGGTTGATCTGCACAGCGATCTAAATCTAGGACCGACACGTAGATAGGTATCTAAAGGAAGCGTCAGAACACTACTTTGATAAAGCGGCGCGACACGATAACCCTCTTGTCGTGGTCGCCGTTAATTACATATCCGACCGAGGCGACGGGGCAATGCAAAGCCGCCGTCACAGGCATGTCTTGTTGGATCCCCTGGGTCCACTTTCAGTGCTGTTAGGCCCCTGAAGCACCGGTCAGCATCTTTCATCTAGAATTCGTCGATTACGACGAAGAGTTTGATCTAGTTTCTCTCCGGATCTTCTCAGTGGATCGCGATTTCGATCCGGTGGTAGACTCGGTAAAGCACTGCTCTTGCTAAGGTCGTGTCGTTACGTATAATATAATCATCAAATCCGCCCAAATTACGATTGGTGTCTTTAGAGCCCGCACGGTTAAGTGACAGCGCCCCGCCTATTTCTGCCGTGAAGCAGTCATGCGTTTCGTATTCAAGAGTGGGGCAGCCATTATACTGTACAAAGTGAAACTCAGAACTCATGTCTTAAGGTGAGTAGCGAAATTTACGTTATTTGATGTCTATCGACTCGGGTAGCCGCTTAACACCAAGTGAGCAATGAGCTCGTTCGCTCATCTAAATAATAATAAAAGAATTTCTTTTGGACAAGCCGCGATCCTTTCTTATAAAAAAAAGCTCTGTTCGATTATACTAAACTATTTTAGAGACCTATGCAGGCCTTGTATGAAGATAATGATACTAAGCGGCATTTGTTACTAATAACAAACCCATTATAAAACTATAATATTTAAATCACATGAATTATTTAAGTAGTGTTCAAAATCGGAAACATAGCTAATGCCCACCACATGAATGACCCACGAAATTCAGATTTAAGACTAGGTCGATACATAGGTTTGTTTGTTTCATTCGTCTCGTGGCTAATGGTTAGTGAGTTTAGTGACCTTGATTACTGTACGAGTCTGATCCAGTCACGTATCTTTATTAAAGTAGTAGTAGAAGTAGTAGTTCTTTTGACGTTCAACAAGTATGTACTTTCATTTATGTTGAATATATATTTTTTGATTTGATTTGATTTTAAGATATTTGACATTTACCATCGGGTTGTACTATTTTATATGTGCTATTTATGTACACATACATACATAGCAAAATATCACTGTTAGCACTGCTATCGATGCTAATTAATTCGTTGAACTTAATTAACATTTAAGGATTATTTTCTCGTGAAAACGGTCATAAATTATATGTATTCCTGTAGTTAAATAAAGCTAATTATTAATTTGGCTAGTTCCAGATCGGTCTCAAGGATATATTTTATACTTTACCGATTTTTTTACACATTCCTTGCGTTTTTTTATTGTCGTTATAGGGAGGCGAGCATACGGCACACCTGATTGTGAGTGGTTATCATCGCCCATGGACTTCAGCAATGCCATGGGCAGAATCGAGTCGTTGCGTAAAAGGTAATTACAAACTTCGAGTATGTAAAGCGTGAGGTGCTACCCGAATTTCACTCGAAAAGTTTTCCTTTGTTTTGTCGACCTCGCCTCTGCAGTTGGCTGGTTTTTACAAAACCAGCGAGGCCGACCTTTTTGGGCCGTGGCTGTATAATACTGTGTGTATACCGGTGCGTAACTTTTACATAAGTTCTTCAGTGTGCAACTTCAACGTTACTCGAATAATAATTACTAGTGGTCCCGCTGTAGTCGAAATTCGACTATACATAATTAATTGGAATTATAAGTTTGAACATTATTATGGCTCTATACTTCTATAATCACAGATATCGGCCAAGACTACACTATAGATAAATAATATTAAAGATAAACAATATTAGTCTATTCTCAATTTGACTACAGACTATAAGCAATAACAAAAGTTTCACAATAAACAAAGAGTATATAAGTTATATGTGTGTGTGTCAAATACATGGCAGTGTGTATAATGTTTTTTTTACGTAATGTATTTTAATGCATAATTTAAAAAAAAAACATATTAGCATTATATTTATTTTCTCCTCTATATTCTCAATAAGTGTGGGAAATTTCATACTCCGCGCAATTTTCGTAAAAAGGGGTACAACGTTTTTGCTGCACGTATTAATATATAGATTAAATTTTTAGTATACTAAACTTGATATTATGTGTATTTAAGTCACTGTTTAACATTTCTACTTAGAGCACGCAGCTTAAAAAAAGTACTTAAAAAAGTATCAGCTATTTTAAATTTAGTATTAAGGCCCAATATGAACTCGTACTTCTTTAAACATGTTTTGTTTAGTATTTTGTAAACCTGCAAAATAACGTCTTATTTTTAATTTACTGTATTAATGATCTTTTAATTGTTATATTCTACAAAAAAACCGAAGAGAATCCTAGAAGCGCGTTTCATGAGAGTATTTCGCCTATTTCCAACAGTCTACAAAATTAATTTGGTGATTAAATTGCAGATAGCGGAAGATTTATTTTAATACAGAGGAACGGTGCGTCTATTTAAGTGGTAACCGAACTCCAGGAGTACAAAGTGAACGCCCCTGCTCATGTTGAAACGCGAAGTCGGTTAACCGATTGCCTAAGGCCTAAGAAAACGTCATAGCGCTTGAAACCATAAAAGTACCTTTATTGCATCGCCAGATACGGTACGTGTCAAAACTATCTCTGGAAATCGTATCGTAAATACACTCCGCTTCGATAGTGTTTGTCAATAGATAACGAGTCGGGAAGTCCCAGTTCGCTCACAGAATCAATAAGCCAGCACAAACCGACCCTGAGCTGAGAGATCAAGACTGAAGCAATGAATCTGTTAAGGAGCTTGGAATATTTATAATCACTTTGGTTCGACCTTGTAAATGCTGTAAAACTCTTCACTATTAAAATCAAATCGCAAGAATCACAATCTTCTGGGCATCCTCAAGGTATCCCCTGAGAATATTGCATTATGAGAAAACTTTCTTCGAAGTGAACCAAAATTTTCATCTTCACTTGGTTAATATGAAATATTAATATTAATCCTTATCTTAATCTTATCCTTATCTTATTAATTCTCCCAATTTTGAGAATTTATTTTCACCATCTCTACTGAAAGACGATCTGAGTAAAACAATCTGGCGGCCGGATATATTGCACATCCTTAGCAAAACATGATGATCAGATTAAAGGACAATGCTAGCCTTGAGAAACGCGATAGAGTTGCAATCGACGACGACTTTGATACTGCTTCCATTCGACACAATTGTACTTATCTGTACTTATAAAGTACTTTAGGGATTCTGTTAAATGGTAGCCACTACTTAACTACCAGTTATATCTGTCTCCATACAAAAGCAAACACGATCTAAAGCCAAGTGTCGATACCAATCTCTGGCTCGGTAGGCCCACGGTCCTTTTTAACCTACCTATGCTGATAGACTTCAGAGGCTATATCACCGTTATCCTAGCGTGTAGGTGAGCTCAGGGCTCAAACCGGAGGTGTTGCTAATACTGGCCCTAGCAAGTGCAGTGCTTCGCAGAATCTACCATCAGATCGGAAACGCGACCCACTGAGAAGATCCGGCGAGAAAGTCAGTAGGCTCTCTGGCCCAATGCTCAGGCTCGCTATTATGTACTCTACTCCCATGGAGCATATTAAGAAGGACTGAAAAATTTAGTTTACATAACCGAAGAATTTAACCGTATTATCTGGAGCTAATAAACTCATTATAATACGCTTCCCGAGATCATTTTCCCCACATACTATCCAACTCAAAAATTTGCTTCGGGTTTTTCGAACACCGTCATATAACCTTTGTTTTTAGAGTACTTAGCGGTCCAAACTTAATGATGTCTTTGGTATTTCCGATATCCTGAAATGACGATGAAATTTTGGATAGAAGGTAATTCCAGATCCCATCTAAGACCTTGATGATACGGAGTTCTCACTGAGAAACTCACCATAGCTTTTCATGACCAAGCCACTCATGAGTAACAAAAAAGTCGCTAGCTAAACGACCGTGATAAAAACCGTGCTCTCAGGCATGGTTTGTAAATACATATTTGTTTCTTACATCTCAATCATGTTTATGGTGTACATATTTTGATTTCAGTAACCGTTTAACGTCAGATGACGCTCTTGGTAAATACTAAGCACCTGTATTGCCTAACTTTGCCTTCTTTTGTTTTTGATATGTGTTTTAGTCTTTTAGGTATCTTAGTAATAGATTCATTCTCAGTATATTCGGATTCGTATTTCCCAGAGTCTACCAGATATTCCAGCACATTAAGTAACACAAATCGACATAATTAATTATGGCAGTCAAACCTATGTTTCACCTATGGTTCACCTATGTTTTATGTTTTTTCGTTATCAATAATTTGTGAATTGAAAATCTTATCTAAATCTTTCTTACAAATTATCTGGAATTTCTAAAACAATCAGTACAATTGATATTTCTTTGAAAATAAAACCGTTTTCTTGAATCCAAATAAAACTAGCATACAGAGTCGCACCTTGCGTACCTACGAGCTGTGACATAGAACAGGTGAGTAGCATACAATCAGCTTACGTATTTTTAACCAGTCGCGAATCAACCATGCATTCCATTTCGGAATTCGTTATTCCAATCTTTCAAAAAATGTCTATACGTGCAGATTTTTTAAGCGTTACTTATTTGTATACTATGCGGTTCTGGAATGAACTCCTCTCCGCGACATTCCCGGAGTGCTATAGCACGTTCTACTTTAAAGGATGTTTGAAAAGAGTCATCAGCAGTACGCAGCGGCCCTGACTGACAGTGACCACCTCAACATCAGATAGAGGTATATTCGTCAACCATCGCGATAATAAAAAAATACGACTAACCAAATCATTTATTATTGTTGAATTTGATCCTGTCATACAGTGAAAATGGATCAATTGTAACCAAGTTCCGTTATAATTCGCACATTTAAAATTGGAGTGGCTTACAAATACAAATTCTTATTTTTTAGTAAACACCAAAAATGTTATTGAAAAACTGTTTTTTTTTTTTTTTTCGATTTTAATACTTTAAGGTCGTTGGTTATAAGTTGTTCAAAGCATGAAACTCATTTTATTAAAATTGTAGTTAAGCTACTTCAATTATGCGAATTATTATTGAATTTTGTCCTGTCATAGTATGAAAATGGAACAATTGTAACAAAGTTCCGTTCTCTCTTTAGTGGTGCACTTCGTTCAATGAAGAGAAGAAATTCGTCATAGTAAATGAGAAAGTGTGCGTGATATCTTAAACTGCATTTGAAAGTCGTCTGACGCACATTGCCGATAGTAATCATGCACCAAAACATATGTAACTCTGTGTGCTAAATTCGACAAGTTTTTCTATGAGTTTTTTTTAAACAGCTTAATGCAATGTCGTCCTCAAGTTTTAAATGTCAACACTAGTAATATTGTTGCTAGAACATTAATCATTTTTTATTATTTTTTTATTCTTTATTAAAGCCATACACAACTTTAATCAAATTAATTTATTACAAAAAAATTACACAGATAATACAGGTACATGTGCGGACAATTTAATATCGATTAGAATCAAGAGAACTTAAAAAGTTTGACATAAAAAGTAGAAACTCACCGAATGATGTCCTCTAATGGTGTGCAGGTAACTGTTGTTCTCCTTGCGGGTAAATTGGTTGAGAATTAGGTAAAATCGTCGAGCACTTGGAAGATTATAGAATATAGTATTATTTTGTTATGAATAATGATACGGTTTGCTTTAAAAAAAATCGTGCGATACGTAACGTGCGCTCTGGCAAGCTTCGCTGACTGACTGAGTGAATGAGGGCCACTCGCCATCCTCTTTTATGTTAGTAGTGTAAACTGGTATGCGTTTGCGCACTGCCCGATGACAACGGGAGGTAAATATATTTTTTTTTATTCTTTATTTCGCTCACACACGTTTTGTAGTAAAAAAATTAACTCGACACACATCAATGGTAATTCTCTGACCGTGACGATGTTAATAAAGCTGACTGAACATAATGCACTAAATAATCTTCTGGTTTCGTTCAAGCACTTTCGGTCAAAAGTTCAATTAACTGTCAACGGAATGACGTTTTATATATATATACATATATTCAAGTTGCGTTATATTAATTAAATGACTGACAAAGTAATAGAAGCTGCACCGTAAGGTTATCGACATTCTCGGATCCAAGCTAACTAACTTAACGCACTTATAGAATTGAAGTGGCCGAATCCAAAATTTTAATTTTTTGATAAACTCAAAATTTGTAATTGAAAATTTGTAATTTTTTAGGTTTTTCGATTTTTATTACGTTAATGCGTGCGCTCGATTAAAAAGAGACAGAAATAGTACGTAGGTATGTCCTTAACTAAAAGAGACTATTTAATTTTATAAACCGATAGATTACATGTTTATAAGTCGTTTGAAAAATAAAAATCATTTTCTTAATTTTTCTAGTTAAATCACTTCAATTCTCAAAGGTGCGCTATGCAACAGTTGGATTCCACTTGATTACCCCCAAAAGAGAGTCGTTCGGAATATCGATTAATCCTGGTGTCACAAAAAGTTTTGAAAGGTCTGGTTTTATTTGCGCTCTGAGGTGTATTATATATGTTGTATCATTCAGGCAGTGGGTAATCATCCACAGTGCCTTTCCAGAGATTATTTTGGCCACGCTTTATGCAACTCCATGCTTGCTGATTCCCCTACGCTGTGACATAAGAATAATATTATCTGTTTTCAAATGAGGTCAGAAAGATCCTCAGCAATAATTAGGCTTTGTTGTGTTCCTAGAATAGGATCGTTTGCCTTCGATAGCAATAAAAAATCGCCAAAACTAAATTGTTTTGCGAAAACCATCTGGTTTGAACCGTCCTTACAACTATTGAGCCCTAAAGCGGGCTGTGACTTACAAGTATAGTTTGTAAGGCTATTTAGATAAAGAAGATAATGTGATACAAATATCGTTTCAAATCGAAAGTTAAACCTTGACGTGCCAGTGACCTTGTGGCTCATTTTTTTTCAATCATGATAAGAAATAATGTACCAAATTTACACTTGTATTATAAAGTAGATTTGTTTTTGTTGGAATATTTGAAATAATGAGTGGACCTACTGAACCAATTCCTGTTCTTTTTATAATAGATAGCTACACTATATTTTTGTCACTTACCATCCGACTTTGGAATAAGCCACAAGCCTCGTTTGAAGAAGGACATGTCTTAGCGCTCGGGAAACACCGTGGAGGGGAGCTCATTCCATAGCCGGATGGAACGTGGCAAAAAAGACCTCTGGAAACGCACTGTCGATGAACGCAGCGGTTCCAGATAATATAGATGAACTCTGCTCCGATGACGGGAGGTGCGATGATAAAAAGGAGTGAGGGGATCATCTCAAACAATTCCACAGAGCACTCTCCATGGAACATTCGGTACAAAATACAGAGGGGGAACCGAAGTCCCTCCGCAGATCCAGAGGTTCCAAACTATCCGTGAGAATGGGATTATCGACAATCCAAACGGCCCTCTTCTGTATGGAGTCAAATGGAAGAAGCTGGTATTTGGGAGCCCCGGCCCAGAGATAGGAGCAGTACTCCACGCGAGGCCGGACTTGTGCTTTATAAAGCAAAAGTCTTTGTCAAGGCGTGAACTACTGCTTCGCTCTGTTGAGGACTCCCAGCAATTTGGACGCCAACTTGGCTTTGCCTTCCAAATGACTCATAGATTTATAGATTTTGCGGTAAACAGAAGCATGACTACGCCTCAGCCGGTATCCAGAAGCACTTACCAGTCACTAGTGGTAACTGATAAGTCGTCAGGATATCCAACGATCACGGAAATAACAAAGCTAAAATTGAAATGTTAATCCAGTAAGATTTGAAAAATTTAAGGGAACAGTAAAGGTCTTTCAAAAATTTTTATTTCTAATATTCTGATTTTTAATTTTGTGCGGACCCAGAGACCACGCTCTTGATTTTTCCGAATGAAATAAAAAATAGTTTTAGTCCAACCATTTACATCCCTGCCGCTTCTAGTTTAGATAATTTGCTACATTAACGTCTAAGCAATCTACTAATATTGTAATTACCTATATACTTAAAACTACATTTGTTTAAGCTTTAGCGTTACCTTTCCATTCCTATTGAAATATAACGAAAATGTGTGTTTTTACTGTTGAGATAATGAATGCTACCAACGCACAAACGTCAGTGGTAATAGGATCAGCACAGGATACAAAGCTTTAATGCCTTAAAGGAACCCCTATTTTGTGAAAAATCTTACGTCATTATTATTCAAATTCTTCTACAATTGAAATATGTACATTAATTAAAATATAAGTTTAATAGTATAATATAATGTTAACTATGAATGTGGAAGGATATAGAGGAAGAGGTAGACCTAAGAAGAAATGGATGGATTGCGTGAAAGACGATATGGGTAAGAGGGGAGTGAGCGAAGAAATGGTATATGATAGAAGAGTATGGAAGGAGAAAACATGTTGCGCCGACCCCAGGTAACTGGGAGAAGGGCAGGATAATGATGATAAGTTTAATAGTATTCTCTAGTATATCACTACCTCTATATTGCAGCCCGATTCAATCAAAACGCAATTACCTGCTCATCTCGTAAATATTCTGCTAATCCATTTAAGATTAATTCAACCTTTGGGATTTTTGACATCGATTTTTGAGATCGCATATTAAAAAGTAAAACAAAATAAAAAACGTTGTACAAATGTTTATTACACATTTAAAAAACGTACAAAAATACATGTATGTACTACACTTTTATATTATGACGACTACAAGATACAAGAAAAATAATTATGTAATATGAGTATACATAATAAAATAAATACAAAACTATATGAAATATTAAAAAAAATAATGTCTTCCTGTACTTTATGAATATTATGCAAGTTTTAAATTGTACTTAATAAAAGGAATGTACTTCATGTCTTCCACATTAAAGTTACAAATCTCGATATCCTTTGTAATATGCCCAAGACAACGAATTGAGAAAAAAAAGGTCAATATTTTTTTTTTTACTGAATTCAGTTCAGGACTATTTTCTAAATTGTTAACAATCTTATACTTTACCGCCAAAAATAGATCTACCTACCACACGACTTAACTGTATTGTTTCCAAAACGCGGTTACAAAATTGACTGTAGTAGCTTATTTATATCTATTTATCCGTCGCCGGGCTGCGAGCGTTTTCATAAAATAAAGAGTTTCGGAGAGATTACTAAAACTAAAAACGACAATTTCATATAGTTTCTACGTGTAGCATCCTCGGCGCCGGTGTTTACTTGGGGAGTTTACCGACCTCGAACAAGTAGGCGGCAAACAGTTTTATCTGTAATTAGTAAAAACATTCGTCAAAATCACAAGTTCGTATGTATACTGTTGCATTGATATGGGCTTATTGCTGAGGCCAAACATTAATCTACGTGTCCGAATTCGCAAATATAATACAATTTGCTTTGTTAATGCCGTTAACGTTTTTTTATTTATTGCCTTCATGGGTCGTCGAGCTCACAGCCCATCTGGTGTTAAGTGGTTACCGGAGCCCATAGACAACTACAACGTAAATGCGCCACCCATCTTGATATAAGTTCTAAGGTCTCAGTATAGTTACAACGGCTGCCCCACCCTTCAAACCGACACGCATTACTGCTTCACGGCAGAAATGGGCAGTGTGGTGGTACCTACCCGTGCGGACTCACAAGAAGTCGTACCACCAGTTTTTTTTTGTTAGACTAATAAGACCAAAAAAAATTTTTTCAATTTGCGTTGTCACCGCACGCTGTGAATGGCGATAAGACCGCCCGGTTAGCTTTCTTACTACTTTATAATTTGTTTGTTTCACTTCAACTAGTCCATAAACAATATTTACAATGCATATTTAATTGGCAGTGGATCATAAATAATCATTCGACTGCGGCGATTATTCAATACCTATATTAGTTTAGTTGCGAACTATGTATTTACTCATGATATTCACTGCTATATGAGTTGCATACAATTTTTTGCGTAGAGTACTCGGGCTAGTATTAGCAAATTCTCTCAGGTTGATCCAGTGAGCTCACCTACCCGTCTACGGATAGTTGTAATAGCGCCTAGCTTTTTTCTCCTACCTATGCTGATAGCCTTGAGAGGCTATTTCAGCTTCGCCCTAACATGTAGGTGAGCTCACGGGGCTCAAACCGGAGTATTGCTAACACTGGCCCTAAGCAAGAGCAGTGCTTCGCAGAATCTACCACCGGATCGGAAACGCGATCATTGAGAAGATCCGGCGAGAAACTCAGTGAGCTTGTCTGTGGGTTAATTCGCTCATCGAGCCTTTCGTCACAAGCGACGGGTTCGACGAAGACGGTGATCGGTGCTTGTGGTACCTAAAAGCACCGTTAATAGATCGGGAGGATCCGTAATGACGTGTTTTGGGCGACGTCGACTATTTATCATTCGGTCTACAGGATCGGGTATGAAATAGCCCCACTGGCTACGAAAGATTAGGCAGGGAATAAAAATATTGCGTAACCTAATCTTATTTTCAAATTTGGTTTAACAGAATACTGCAATGAATGCTACATAGTATGTTATGTGTTTATTAGAATTTAACTTAAACTTTATTCAACAATAAATCCGTCATAACTTATCGTGGAGACATTAAATTGTTATTAAGAACTCTCTCAGACCACAAATAATCGGGCAATACCATGACTAAATACGCCGTAAATGTTCGCCAAAGCGAAATTTCAATTAAGGGTCGGTGATATACTTATATGTGTAGAAATAATACAAAATTTAAATAGAAAAGAAAACACGGAAATTCGAAAAGTACTGGTCAAATCTTCATAAAACTTAAACAAGACCATATTAGAACCACCGGATTATAAATAATAATAAAAAAAACGAAAGAATCGGTTCGTCTAGAAAAGATTCGATGATAAACGCACATAAAAATTGAGTCGAATTGAGAAGCTCCTACTTTTTATATTCGCACGATACTACTGTTACTAATTACTTAATACTACTTAACTTAATACTACTATTTAACCTACTTAATACTACTGTTATATCAACGACTCTGCAACAGTAACACTGATATGAAGTATAACAAACGCGACGACTAATGTTTCGCTAAAACTTGATCGTTTGTGGATAAAGATCTTCGACCCAGCGGGTACTTTTTATTGTTCAATAGACCAAAGACGGTCTAAATGTTTGAACCTTGTCTTAACAGAAATAATCTTTATGATGCTGTGAGCGCTATCCACGTTTTTGTCTAAACTTATATATAAAAAAAAAACATTTCGCATAGATTTTATACCTAAACAATTTAAAACAAATACTTTTTTAAACATAAATTAGATTAAAGAAAGGGTGACGTCAAAAGTGTAACATGATTAAAATTATTCTGTAAACGATTTTTTATTAAGTTTGACATTTCATATTTTCAAAGCGTATAAATAAATGTACTGAAATGAGAATGCTAATAATTTTATCCCACTGAATTTCTCGCCGGATCTTCTCAGTGGGTCGCGTTTCAGATCCTGTGGTAGATTCTGTGAAACACTGCTCTTGCTAGGGACAGTGTCAGAAACAGTTCCGGTTTGAGTCCGAGAGCTCACCTACACACTAGGGTAAAGCTGAAATAGCCTGTCAAGGCTATCAGCATAGGTAGGGAAAAAAAAAAAAAAAAAAGTTTATTTTGAGTTGTTGAAACATACTTATCGGAAATTAAATTCGTAGAAATCAATTCCAAAAAATACTTCGTTTTCATTCCAATACCAAATCATTCGGGAAACCCATCGCTCGCGAGTTTTGTCGCTACGTGATCGGGGTCTCGTTTTTTACAGTTAACGCTCGTAAACCAGTCTCGGATTAAACTTATTTTACTTAAGTAGGATGACGCTTGCGCGATTTGAGAATTGCATTGATTGTTGAGCAACGCTTTTGACTGTGTGAACACCGAAATAACAATTCTGAGGCTCAGAAATTTCTTTATTTTTCTACTTCACAAACTTCATGTTTTTTATAGAAGGTTTTTACTACGACGATGCTACTTACTAAAAAAAAGAAAGAATATAACGAAATTTCTTCACAAACTGATCGACAACATTGTATTCTTAGGATACTGGGATCCTCATCCTCGAGAAACTTCTGAAGTAAAATCAATTTGCAGTGTCGAAACTATTATAGTTTGTCAAATTAAAAATAAGTGGTCGACAAAATCTTCTGAGAAGGAAAGTACATACTTATTAATTTTGAATTATCTACCCCTACCGTCATTTTAACACCTTATTTACTTTTATTCGATCAGGTCTAGTTTTCGTGTTACGGCTACTTACTACCCACAAATTTTACCGCTTTTTAGTTCCATTTTCACATATTTGAAGTGTAGGTTTTTTTGTTTTGTTTTCGGAGATAAACGATTCTTAAATAATTTCCAGAAATAGTAAAAACATCTTGACAAGACATTTATAGCGTTATACTAATATTTAATAAAGTCATATTACAATAAAACTATTAATTTTTCAAGCATTTTAATTTTATTTTACTATCCTTATCCTGCTCCTTAAAAAATTCCAAAAAGTAATGTGTTTTATATTTAAATAAACTCTTTACATTAATCAGTCAAATATAAACAGTCGATTGTGTTTAATAATGTGAAAAGAACGATCTATATTATAAAGTGCATAAACGTTACGTTCCTGATAAGATCGGGGTGTGTGTTCCGGTCCTTAATCAGAGCCAGTGGGATTTCCCGGAGATGAATCAACGTTATTATTGAGATCATAGTGCACATTGACGACAATTGACTAAAATTGAATCACATACGATCGTTTACAGTCAATCACGTGCGCGACTTCTTAACGAAATGAGTAATATTGATCGTTAAAATGTAAAATTATTTTTAAAATACTCTTCCATTTTGTCGAAATGAAACAATTCTGTTGTTATTATAAGCCTTTAAATGGGTAATCTTAGAAAGTGGCTCATGGAAAAAACTGTCGCTTACTTTACAGTACATATCGTTATTTTTGACAAATTTTATTTTGTTGCTGCTATTTGTTTTTGCTTAATAATTCATTAAAAATTCATATTTAGGGTTGCGTTTTTCAGAGCATGCAATTTTAGTAAATTCTTAGTTTAGTTAATTCTTAATTAAATTGATTTTATTAATTAAAAACGGCCTTAAAAATGTAACATTTCATAGACTATAGGCGATGTATGATTTATTTATTTTTCGCTTTTTTTACTGTGTACAATAGAAAATACACAAATAGCACCTATTGATGTAACGATATTATGATCTGATATTTTTTGTTTTCCTTCGTCTTTGTTGTGTTCGCGTGGCGTAAAATCGCCCACTTCAATAAAGCGGCACGACATGAGAACCCTACTACTGAGCTCACCTACTAGTTAAGGTTACGCTGATATAGACTCTCAAGGCTATCAGCTTAGGTAGGAACAACCTCCACCACCCTACCAACGACATAAGTGTGTAACTGGGAGCTCTGTGGCAGAATAGACGCCACATACCTAGCTAAGTCCCTTCACTGTTAAGACCACGGAAAGTCACGTTGACAATTTTCGCATAAACGTATCCTTTCTGAAGAAGTCAAACCAGACACAGCTAAATAATCACCAGAAGACTATACTTCACGATAGACAGGTTAGACAAAAAAACTCAGACGGAGGACTAAAAACAATACCAAAACAAGTGGAGTTCTCATCGGGCCCTATAAGAGTATAATGACCAAAGTAGGCGATTTTGAAGTCGTCGTGGCTTGAAGGATAAGACGCTCGGTGTGCTCATATCGAGCGATACGACTGTACCGGTATTCAAATCCCGCTGGCAGATATCCATTTTTGTAATATAATATGTACCCAACACACGTTCATGAAAGACTCCCAAGACAAAGGAATAACACAGGATAATAAAAATGAAAGACGCAAAAAATTTAATATGCCTAATTAATAAACAATTGACATTTAGTCATCTAAATCTCAGAGGCGTCGCAGCGTTCACGTGATATCTATGAATTCTGGTATCTGCTTTTTTTATAGCTCTTGTAGGCAAACGAGCACACGGCCCACCTGATAGTGAGTGGTCACCGTCGCTCATGGATATCAGCAATGCCAGAGGCAAAGCCAAGCCGCTACCTACTGTTAAAAACACCAAGTAACCGTGCAATAGATCTACGCAAACAAAATGAAATATCTGCGTGTCCCGTTAATACATTATTCTATAATAACATATTCTAAAGAAAGAAAAGCTAGAAGGTGGGCGTGGCCTGCTGACTGGTCGGAGTTGAGGGGACCACTAACACATAGCATATATTGCCTCGTTCACGGCCTCTTTCTGATCTCGACACCAGGGATAGACGGACATTTTGTATTGTTTTAATTATAAATTTTTTAATATTTTGAGTCGTGATTTCTAATTACATTTATTTTAAAATATATAGAATACAAACTGATTCCATTGTACATCCATAACTTGTAAAACTACAAGTAAAACATTATTTTTAATTTCCTCTATATTGGAAGTAAGTGATTGGGTGCAACCAGCGGCGGGCTGGTTGTGTTAGTATTTTCCACTATTTTTTAATGCGCAGCCGACCTTATTTCCCATTGTATAATCAATATTCGTGGAGATGACACATATTACAAACATACAAATCATTTATGATTTCGGAGAAAACACATTGGAATTATTTAAAAACTTGCACCCAATCACTTACTTCCAATATAGAGGAAATTAAAAATAATGTTTTACTTGTAGTTTTACAAGTTATGGATGTACAATGGAATCAGTTTGTATTCTATATATTTTAAAATAAATGTAATTAGAAATCACGACTCAAAATATTAAAAAATTTATAATTAAAACAATACAAAATGTCCGTCTATCCCTGGTGTCGAGATCAGAAAGAGGCCGTGAACGAGGCAATATATGCTATGTGTTAGTGGTCCCCTCAACTCCGACCAGTCAGCAGGCCACGCCCACCTTCTAGCTTTTCTTTCTTTAGAATATGTTATTATAGAATAATGTATTAACGGGACACGCAGATATTTCATTTTGTTTGCGTAGATCTATTGCACGGTTACTTGGTGTTTTTAACAGTAGGTAGCGGCTTGGCTTTGCCTCTGGCATTGCTGATATCCATGAGCGACGGTGACCACTCACTATCAGGTGGGCCGTGTGCTCGTTTGCCTACAAGAGCTATAAAAAAAGCAGATACCAGAATTCATAGATATCACGTGAACGCTGCGACGCCTCTGAGATTTAGATGACTAAATGTCAATTGTTTATTAATTAGGCATATTAAATTTTTTGCGTCTTTCATTTTTATTATCCTGTGTTATTCCTTTGTCTTGGGAGTCTTTCATGAACGTGTGTTGGGTACATATTATATTACAAAAATGGATATCTGCCAGCGGGATTTGAATACCGGTACAGTCGTATCGCTCGATATGAGCACACCGAGCGTCTTATCCTTCAAGCCACGACGACTTCAAAATCGCCTACTTTGGTCATTATACTCTTATAGGGCCCGATGAGAACTCCACTTGTTTTGGTATTGTTTTTAGTCCTCCGTCTGAGTTTTTTTGTCTAACCTGTCTATCGTGAAGTATAGTCTTCTGGTGATTATTTAGCTGTGTCTGGTTTGACTTCTTCAGAAAGGATACGTTTATGCGAAAATTGTCAACGTGACTTTCCGTGGTCTTAACAGTGAAGGGACTTAGCTAGGTATGTGGCGTCTATTCTGCCACAGAGCTCCCAGTTACACACTTATGTCGTTGGTAGGGTGGTGGAGGTTGTTCCTACCTAAGCTGATAGCCTTGAGAGTCTATATCAGCGTAACCTTAACTAGTAGGTGAGCTCAGTAGTAGGGTTCTCATGTCGTGCCGCTTTATTGAAGTGGGCGATTTTACGCCACGCGAACACAACAAAGACGAAGGAAAACAAAAAATATCAGATCATAATATCGTTACATCAATAGGTGCTATTTGTGTATTTTCTATTGTACACAGTAAAAAAAGCGAAAAATAAATAAATCATACATCGCCTATAGTCTATGAAATGTTACATTTTTAAGGCCGTTTTTAATTAATAAAATCAATTTAATTAAGAATTAACTAAACTAAGAATTTACTAAAATTGCATGCTCTGAAAAACGCAACCCTAAATATGAATTTTTAATGAATTATTAAGCAAAAACAAATAGCAGCAACAAAATAAAATTTGTCAAAAATAACGATATGTACTGTAAAGTAAGCGACAGTTTTTTCCATGAGCCACTTTCTAAGATTACCCATTTAAAGGCTTATAATAACAACAGAATTGTTTCATTTCGACAAAATGGAAGAGTATTTTAAAAATAATTTTACATTTTAACGATCAATATTACTCATTTCGTTAAGAAGTCGCGCACGTGATTGACTGTAAACGATCGTATGTGATTCAATTTTAGTCAATTGTCGTCAATGTGCACTATGATCTCAATAATAACGTTGATTCATCTCCGGGAAATCCCACTGGCTCTGATTAAGTTTGTAATATGTGTCATCTCCACGAATATTGATTATACAATGGGAAATAAGGTCGGCTGCGCATTAAAAAATAGTGGAAAATCCTAACACAACCAGCGGCGGGCTGGTTGTGTTAGTATTTTCCGCTTTTTTAAACTAGCTTCGGGTCAGGTAATTTTTTGACGGCCGACAAATCCGGGTTTTAAGTTCTGACGTCTCTCTCTGCTATCCTGCCTGCTTTTTTATGGATTTTATGACCTGGTAACTAAGATCTTTAAGTCATGTCTTATTTTTATTTTTATTCTTAATTATATGAAAAATGATAATGTGGAGTGAAATGAAATAAAATAAAATGAAATGAAGATGATTAATTTGAGATATTTATCAACTGGGATGAATTTAAACGAAATGAGATGAGATGAGATGATATGGGATGAAATATAATCTAAGTAAAATGGTGGTCATTTACTGAGATTTTTTCAGTGGACTTTTTGGAGGATCCCGAGAAGTTACGTACGTCCAACGGCTTTGTTTCATATTACTACATTTGTGCACTTTCACAGATATTAAACAGTTTATAAACCACCGTTATTACACATTTAAACCTGAAGAGACACTAAATAGACAACATAAAACAAATCACACAACTTGACTCCTCGCGTTCCCGCCAAAAAGTCCATCCGACCTGCTTTTTTAATGGTTTTTATGACCTGGTAACTAAGACCTTTAGGTCATGTCTTATTTTAATTTATATTCATATTTTTATGAAAAATGATATTATGGAGTGAAATGAAATGAAGATGATTAATTTGAGACATTAATCAACTGGGATGAAATTAAATGAAATGAAATGGGATGAAATATAATCTCAGTAAAATGGATGAATTTACTAAGATTTTTTCAGTGGACTTTTTGGAGGATCCCGAGAAGTTACGTCCAGCGGCTTTGTTTCATTTTCCCACATTTGTGCACTTTCTCAGACATTAAACAGTTAATAAACCACCATTATTACACATTTAAACCCGAAGAAACACTAAATAGCCAAAATAAAACAAATCACACAACTTCACTCCTCGCGTTCCCGCCAAAAAGTCCCATCCGACCTGCGTTAGATGAAGACCACAGATTATACAACTTCTAACAGTCTACGGAGTCCTTATATTTCCTTTGAGTAGATGTACAAAGAAACAGTGTCCACGCGATGAAAGTCATTTACTAGAGTCCGTTTTGAGACATGAGGTCGATGTATATTTTGCATTGGATTCAGGAGAAAAGATTGGTATGAGTAAACTTTTACGCAATCGAGACCGTTAAAAAACTCGCACTAAGCAGACGATGATTTTTTGTGTGCTGTCTTGAAAAGTAACCTTATATTGTGCATCATAAGGTTCCCGTTGCCCCACAATGTCAACGTTATCACAAATTCAAGCTAGTGGTATGCTAACTAACCTCCTTATTGTAAAGCAATGTTTAAATAGATAATGTTCAGCTTACGCCTTCGATGTAGTTGCGAACGTTAATCTTCTCGTTTTGCGAGTGCGCCATGTCGTCTCCGGCGCCCATGGGCAACAGCAACACGTTCTTGCCGCTCGCCTCCTGCAGAGTGATCGTGACGGGGATCGAACCTCCTTCGCGGGACATGTCCGGATCGGTCTGTCGACAAACACTTGAAGCATGAATTATGTTTTTATTAAATTTATTATGTTTCGTTATCGCATAGTCGCATGTTTTATGGAATGGTTATAATGGAGAGGGTCTAAAGAAGCGTTCCTGAAACTGAAAAAGCAATAAATACAAAATTAAGTTAAACGTGAATGAACAAATTTAATTAAGTTGCTCAGAATAGTTTTTTATCGTTTTAGTAACTTCCCAATCTGTTTGTTTACAGTCTTAAATCAGAATGGACTTGAATACCTTTCGCTCCTACAAATCATTTTATTTTAAATAACATTAAATTATTTTTCGTGTTCCATGTCAGAGATTAAGCATTCCGATTTAGTTGTCTGCCGGCCGTCTGGTGTAGTGGTAAGTGACATGGTCACTACACAAGGGGGTCGCGGGTTCGAATCCCGCCAAGGGAAGATATTTGTATGATAAATATAATATAAATATAAATATATAAATATATAAAAAATATAAATATATAAATATAAATGTCTTTTCCAGGGTTATGGATGTATATTAAATATGTGTATGTGTATAATAAAAATCTTATATTTATTTCCGATATCTGGTACCTGTAACACAAGTTCTTTACGAACTTATCACGGGACCAGTTACCGTGGCGTGACTTAGAAAATATTTATTTATTAAAAAAGTTGCGTTACCAGTGCCGGAGCCAAAAACAAAAAAAAAAGAAGAAGAAGAAGATATAAAATTCATAAAATATCTTAAGCTGACAAAACAATAAGAGACAATAGCGACCTGATATATCAGCTTAGTGGCGCGGGCGGCGGCCTGGTAGTGCGGATGGTCCGGGTTCTCGGTCCAAGCGCGGCCGCTCTGTGCCGTGATGCTCATCTTGTTCGGGGACCCGCGCTCCGCCCACTGTCAGCATCGCACACAAGCATTATTACTGTGTCTTCATGCCCCACACATACCTATATCTACATGAGACTAAAATGAAGCTTTTGATTTAAAAATTAAATTGGGAATTAAAGACAAATAGAATATCGGTTTTTTAACTGTTCTTTGCACTTTTAATACTGAACTAATTCGAGCTAACGCGTTTTAGTGTCGTTCTGGTGGAAATGTCAAATTCTGTGAACCGACTAGTTTTTTTTTATTGCTCAGATGGGTGGACGAGCTCACAGCCCACCTGGTGTTAAGTGGTTACTGAAGCCCATAGACATCTACGACGTAAATGCGCCAACACCTTGAGATATAAGTTCTAAGGTCTCAAGTATAGTTAGGTTACAACGGCTGCCCCGCCCTTCAAACCGAAACGCATTACTGCTTCACGGCAGAAATAGGCATAAATTCCTGTTCGATGTGACTAAAAATAATATGTAGAAAAATAATTAAATATAAAATGTTCATGACCTGTGCATATGAACATTGTTTAGCTCGCCGACTTGATACTTGGTAAGTAATAAAGGATTTTTCTTAGCAGTACCATAAACGAACAATAGGTGGAAAACTAATAAAACATACAGGCAATCCTAGTTTGGGAAGGATTGAAATGGAAAATTTTAATTTAAAAACAATCATAGTATTTTATAATCGTTTTTTTTAATGTTTTACCTTCTTGTTAATGTAATCAAAGACTAATTTCTCGACTTCCTCCGGCTCTTGATTCGGAACAAGCCTGACTGAAAATTTGCCAATCACTTTTCCAGGAACCACCGTTTTTGCTCCAGGCTGGAACGCGGCACCTAAAATATTACCATTAAAATTTTACATTCATACTATACACGTTAACAACAATCCTGCCCAGTCTGAGACTGCCCAGAGTTTGAAGGGTTACACAGCTATTCTATAGTTCAATTTGACCTTAGCTCTCAAGGTGGGTGGAGGCCTTTACGGTGTGTTGACCACAGGCTATGGTAATCCCTTATTCCTAGATAGGACACATGTCTGCCCTCACACATCAATTAAAAAAACCTTATCCGATTATTTTACATACATAATTATATATTTTTTATTTGAAAAGTATTGGGCACGTATTTCTAACAAGTCCAATCGTACTGGACATTGCGATGAATGTTTATAATATTAGAAATTTGGGGAAATTAGATATTCACTTATTTAATCTTTACTCATATTTATTGAAATTTTACAATTCTAACTTAATAATCATGAAAGGTTTAAATTCAGTACATATATGCACCGAAAAATGTAGGTTTAAACAAAGCTATGATTCACATTACTCTACAGGGTGTTCATTTCCCGTTCAGTATACAGATGCACGACGCGCGTTCGTTCGTCTAAAATCTAAATTAAACCTCGTATAGTTTACAGTTTAAGGGTAAAATCGAAATAGGACAATAGAAAAGTTGTTGTTTGCTTTTCGCGTAATGTAAAACAAATTCAGGTGACGCTTGGGATGTCAGTCGGTTGCTTTGTACTTTAGTGACGAATTCATATAATCTTTGATTGCCAAAACATTGGAATGTTACTATGCTAAGGTATCTTTTTTGGATCACGAAGAAATCTTCTGATTTCTGCCTTCATCTTGAAATCAGTAGGCGCGGCATGTCGGAATTGAACAGGCTAATATCGTAGCATCAAGTTAGACAGAAATAGAACTCAGGCTGAAGCCAGGCAACTTGATAAGAGACGGAAAACCAAACTATTTATGCTTTGCATAAGTAGTTTTCATTCATTATGTCTTCTCTTCATAATATGATTTTATTTTAAGACGCTTTAAATTCTTGTATCAGGCGATGTGAATATGTTGGTGTTCATTTTTATCCAACTCCATCAATAGTATTCTGATTTCAGCGGTTCTGGTTTAAGCGACACTTTTGCAACTTTACAAGAGAGCAATTTAAAGTATAAAATTTGGAAAAAATATCATGACAAAAATCTTCTTCAGCTATTGAATGGAGTGAACTTAATCGAAATTCAATTAAAAACATCGAACGGTTGATGCTATTCAATACTAATATTATAAAGAAGAAAGATTTGTTTGTTTGTATTGAATAGGCTCCGAAACTATTGAACCGATTTGAAAAATTCTTTCACTGTTAGGAAGCTACACTATTCCCGAGTGACATAGGCTATAAATATAAATTAGGGATCCTTACTAAAATTCCAATAATGTAATCCAAGGTGTAAAAAAATTACCTAAAATATTCTTTACATCGCGTGCCCTGCGAAAACTATTGATGATAGAATAAAATAATGTACTACGAATTTGTAGAACACATTATTATTTACAAAAAGTGTCGCGACAGTATACGTCTAACTATTATAGTTATGCCGCAATAAGTGTACTTTTATTTAAAAGAAGAAATCGTCAAATATCGTTGAAATTTTTGGTAAGTTCCGAGTGGAGCCGGAGCGGGCCGCTAGTACTAAATAAAATGCATTTTTAATTACAAAGACAAACGTCGTGTATTAAGGGAAATTTCGCTTAAACCACCTCTCGATATGAACAAGTTTTTTTCCTCCCTAAGCTGATGGTCTAGAGAGAGAACATGTCAGCATCGCCGGGCTAGTAGGTGAGCTCACGGGGCTCAAACCTGACGATGTTGCCAACACTAGCCCTAGCAAGAGCCGTGCTTCGCAGAATCTAATGCCGGATCGGAAACGCGACCCACTGATAAGATCCGGCACGAAACTCAGTGAGCTGGGTCTGTGAGTTAATTTACTCGCCGAGCCCTTCGTCGCAAGTGACGGGTTCGACGAGAACGATGATTGGTGCTTGGGGTACCTAAAAGCACTGTTAGTTGATCGGGAGGATCCGAGAAGACGTGAACAAGTTTTACCAACACGACCACGAACGCTTCACTTATATGAATTATATGTGTTAAGATATGTATGATATTGTTATTATGGTAAAATTACCTTCAATCCCATGTAGAGATAGGCTGGGGTATCTCCAACGATGCATCAGCAACTGTTCTTTTACGCCATTGTGCGCAAGTTTGTATGCTCCAATTGTCTTTCTGAAATTTTTATGCAACTAATTACAATTCATAAGGACCAGGTATTTGTGTGTCTTGTGTTATTTCACAGGAAACGCCAAAGACTTTTGGTTGTGCATAACATCACAATAAATAATAATACCTGTATGCTTCCGGATCAAAGTCGATAGTCGTGTACAGCTTGGTTTCGGTTTCAGTGAGTGGAGCTACCGATTTATATATGTCAGTCACCAATATCTTCCCATCTTTGTCCACGAGTGTATTCATCAAATAGATTAAATCAGACATGGCTGAAAAATAAACTTAAATGTAGTCTCGAAAATAACATATCTTTTTTTATTACTGAAGGTCAGGGTTTATCATTATGGACCAAAAAAAGTTAAAATTATTACAGTTCATTTTCTGTACTTTTATTGTAATCAAATTCACATGATAACCAAGTTCTGCATGCCGACAAACAGCGCCATTTCTAAAATATGTTTTGAAACTGTCAGAACTACTTCTTATCTGTACCTATTCAAGCTGGCTACCAACCATTGTGATCTATTGAGAGCTCAAGAAAACATTTTGATTTATGTTTTTTAATTATGATTTATATTACTTAGATGGGTGGACGAAATGTCGCAGCCCACCTGCTGTTAAGTGGTTACTGGAGCCCATAGACATCTGTGACATAGTTCTAAGGACTCAGTATAGCTACAACGGCTGCCCCGCCCTTCAAACCGAAACGATTACTGCTTCACGACTGAAACAGGCAGGGTGTTGGTACCTACCCGTGCGAACTCACATGAGCTCCTACCAACAGTAATTACGCAAATTATATTTTTGCTGGTTTGATTTTTATTACACGATGTTATTCCTTCACCGTGGAAGTCAATCGTAAACATTGCCTGCGAGATTCGAACACCGTTGCATCGCTAGTTAAAAATGCAGCGGACGTCTTATCCTTTTAGGCCACGACGACTTCAAGTCATGAACGTGCTATTTGAAAGTTATCCTGTAGTGTATTAATGAGGGTACTTGTTCTCTTTTTAATAAAAGGAGGGTTGTATAGACACACAATGAACTGATTTGTTACCCAACACATGTGCCTAAGTTCATTATTAAATAATAAAATATAATACATATATCCATTGCTCATGAAAGTAGTAAACAGCATACATTGTAAAGAAATACAAAAAAATATTTTACTAACACAATCTTCATTTGCGTTATCAAAAGAAAGCATTCATGGAACATTTATTCTTTCATTTAAAAAGCAAACTACACAATGAATGTAATGTAAACGATACTAAAAGCAAATAATTAAATGATAATATTGTAATATCAGTCAACCACATACACAAAAAGATTAGGAATGAACTCTTATCAATAATTATTACACAATTGGAAAAATTATCAATTTTATGTACTTTTCATTTCATGTAAATTTCTGATATTCTGATGTTACCTTCATGCACTGTGCCACCATAGACTCCACTGTGAAGATCCATTTTTGCACATTCCACTTCTAGGAAATAGTAGCTGATTCCGCGTAAACCATAAGTGATACATGGCTTCGTGGTTCCCAACCAATAGTTATCGGATATACATACATAGTCAACACTATCAAAGAATCCCTCAGGTTTCAATTTGTCCATTAATAAGCTGTCAAGCCCTTCGGAACCAGATTCCTCCATACATTCGAAAATGAACTTCAAATTGACAGGCAGCTGTAAAATTTGTTGCAAATTGATTTAATGGTTAATTACAAAAAATAAATTTCTTTAAAAACATTATAAGCAGTATAATTTTTTTTTTATAAGAGATTACCTCAGCACCAGTGCCCTTATAGGCATTGATGGTGTGCAGCCAACCAAGTACAGGTCCTTTATCATCAGTAGAACCTCGTCCATATAATTTTTCATTGCGCTCAACTAGTTCAAAAGGTTCAGTCTCCCATCCATCAGATTTCAAAGCAGGTTGTACATCCAAATGACCATAGATACAAACTGTATTTTTTTTTGGATCCTTTAAACAAACAAAAAAAAAAATAAGGTTCTTATATATTCTTCTGATTCTGATATCAAATATTTCTTTTTACCCATTTAACCACATTTATATTGCAACATATTTGTGTTACAACAAATTAAAATATAAATAGATAAGGAGACAATGAACAGTGTGCAAGCTAATAATTACTAAAAATATCTGTAACCACAGGTTTTTTTATTGCCTTTGTCGGCAGACAAGCATACAGCCCAGCTAATGATAAGTGTTGATCATCAACGGCAAGGCATTACCTACCACTAAGACCTGCTTTTAGAGCTCATTTCAACTTTAGAAATACTGTCTTTAGAAATACTGTGTAGGTAAAGAACTCCTCACGGCACACTATCGGTAGACTCAGAAGACAGTTGTCAGAATTACACATAAGTTTTTTAACCATTGTTGCAATAATTATAGATTTACTACATTACTTTATTACTATTACATAATATATTAATAAAATAAATTTTCTTTATAAAATAAATGTACCAAATAAAATCACTAAATTAGAGATCATGAAAAAAGTAGTAAGAACAGACTGGTTTGTACATTTATTTAGATTAATATTATTTTGATCGATTGTCGTTCACATTTTAAGCTGTTTTAAGCAGATAGTAACAAGTACTGCTTTGAATTTAATCCAGTATTAAGTGGAGATAATTTTAAACTTGAATATTGGCTTATCATTGTCACTTTAATCTTTATAAATGACACTTATATTTTTATCTTTTACGAGTACTCATGTACACTAAATTACTGGTAAACATCTGTATCAAAAGGAAATTATTTTAGCATATGATTATAAAAAAAAAAAAAATAGTCTAAGGGGTGGACAATCTCACGGCCCACCTGGTATTAAGTGGTTACGGGAGCCCTTAGCCACCTACCTCGAGACATAAGTTCCAAGTTTCTGTTTAACAGTACAATGGCTGCCCTACCCTTCAAACCGAAACACATTACTGCTTCACGATACAAATAGGCAGGATGGTGGTACCTACCACCAGACTCAAGATGTCCTACCACCAGTATTTACGCAAATTATAATTTTGCGGGTTTGATTTTTACTACATGATGTTATTTCTTCACTGTGGAAGTCTATCAATAAACAATAATAATTGTTCAGTATGTATTTCATTAGGAAAATTGGTAGCTGCCTGTAGGATTCAAACTCCAATGCATCACTTAATACGATTGCACCTTATCTTTTAAGCCTTTAGGCCACGAAGAGTTCAATAATGCGTCTAGTACAATTGAAATGGTGAAACATCATTAAAATATAATTTAAGGACTGCAGGCTGTTTAGGAAGTGCTTTTTTATTCTTCTAATTTGAACTTAACACGTGAAGCCCCACGCGGCTCACCAGGGGACCTAGCAGACTAATACCATTCAAGCCAAGCCAAAATCAGGGAATTAGTAATTTTTATAAACTTGAGATTTTCATCCTACAATTTATAATATGCAATAATTTGCACGGAAAATAAGAATTAGCAACTCTTACCATCTATTTATTAAATAAAAATTGTTCAAAATATTCAAATGATCACAATAGCACAATATGAAAAAACCACAAATATTCAATTCAAGAGAAAACAATTGCTCGAATATTGCTATTATGAAATTTATTATAGAACTAATAAAGTGTTAGTGTCAAATATAATTTATGGAGGATCGCCACCACCTTTCTCATATGAAACTGTGAGCAGAAAAAACTGTTTTTTATACAATTAATGATATAGACAGTAGTCAAGATTCAATGGTAGATGATATTAAAAGTAAAAATTAAGTTACTAACGCTATAAACTAGTCATATTATTTCAACCTAGAATTACTAACAGTCATGATACCACAGGAAATGCTTAACATCAGGTGAACTATATCGTCTACCAACAAAGATATTAAAAATGTATATATACGATCTCATAAGTAAAAAAGAGAGACAGTGGTATTGTATGCTGAGCACAATCATAATACATCACAAACACAATTGTACTACCAATTATTTTTCACCAACTAGTTTTAGTATCGATACTTACATTACCCAATACGCCTACTAAAACTGGCGGCAGTTGAACGTCTTTACCATCTATTGTTTGAAAGCCAACATCCCTTAACTCTGTACTGGCTCCGACTTCCTTCAATTTGTCTTGCATCCAGTGAACCATACGGATGCAATCCGCACGATATTTCACATCACATGAAACGGATGGAATGGCTACTGCTTCTTTTAATAATTGCTTATAAGAATCTTTATTCTGATCTACGTATTTAAAAATTTCAGGCAATGTTTTTTCCGTTGCCATTTTTGCAGAAACTTGTTTGGAACTCACTGAATAATGTTGATGATAAGCAGGAAAAAATGGTACAAGCTGTTTTGTTGCCGGCAATTTTATTAATGTGTTAAATATGCAAGTTGCCCGGTTTATAAGTGTAAGCGAAGTCATGTTGAAAAAAGTAGAAAACTGTCATACTGTCATCGTTCCGTCAATGTCAATGGGTATAGATCAAATAAATAAAACCTCGCCATAGTAAAATTTCCCCAAATGGTAGGTACACACAATGTACTGTTAAATAAATCGTCCAATGAATTCTGATGGACATGAGCGCTCTGATCGGTAGAGTTAATCTCAGAAGTTTCACAGAGTCAAAGCAATTTTATTTGAGGAACCAATTATAACGTCATTTACGTTTAGCGACAGAACTCTGTGATCAAAGATGCTTGATTTTACATGTATCTTGTACACATGCCTTTATACTAGATTTTCTGAATTACTTCATGAAGCTTGAATCAAAAAACCCGATTTTTTTTGTATTAGCATCTTTCTAGAACTACTACAACCATAGACATTAATTTAGTTTTTTTTCCCCTTTTAATCAATGTATACAACAAAACAGGATATTTTCTTTCAAAAATTTTCCCATTCTGTTTATAGCAATATTAATGTATCTTCTTGTTTTTAGGAAGACATAGATGCCCAAATTGTACGCAGAGGTTTTTTTTGCAAAATTTATTTTGGCCTTTCCTTTTTTTGCCCATAGGGGTGGTGACACATTGTTATGTTATGAGTCATTTGATGTACCTACCTGCAAATTATAGTACATATGTCGAAGAGAAATGTGTTTTTGTGCTCTGTGTTTTCGCTCTCTGAATTTCTTTAGTGACACAATGGCTACATACTCCTTTGTTTTGTAGCAAAACGGTAAAATAACACTTTGTTTGTTGGCAAAAATATACCAGCACAAGCACGTATTGTTATTAACAATGTTTTAAACTTTTTCTATGAAATGAAAATAGATCTCGACAAGTTACAAAGTGTTAATTTCTGCTGTTCTTGTTAACTCACTGCGGCGATATGTGGTGTAAGGGTTAGATTAGTGATTTTTTTTCATTTTTATCACGAACCCACAAAATGACAAAACTAAATACACTATCGATAACGCTTATCGACAACAATAATGCGCATCACTATGCTCGTCAATAAGGCCCGTGAGTGGAAGAGAGAGCGAAATACTCGCTTCACCGCTGTGATTATTTATGTCCCAAACTGCACGGACAACTATGCACGAGATTAATCATGTCGATGTTGTGCTAATTAAGCCGTCCAGTATAATGGGGATAAGGATTTACTTCATCTTACTAAAGCAGATTTGCGTGAATCTTGGAAAACCTCCTTGGTGGTCATGTTAGTGAAAGGGAAAATTTATATTAATGAAAAGAAAATAAAATAAAAGGGTTTATTATTTATATTTCAATTTAAATACTATATCTAGATTTAATTACCTGTACTTATAAAGTCATAAGTTATTGTTAATAAAATGTTGTTTTCCATTTATTAAATTAAGCGGATGGAATGTGGCAAATGTTGTGAAACACATTACAATCACAGCCAAATAATATTTCTTGACTGCTGTCACACTCTCTAACAGTTCACAGAACGTAAAATTCTGAAAAAAAGAAAAAGCAATACAAGTGTTATATTAATTTGTTGTTATTTATAGATAATGTTATTTTAGATTTTTAGTTTAGATAATTAATTTATAAGCAAACCATAATCATTCATATTTTATGGACATTTATTTTAACAAAAAACAATTTTTATGTGACGATGTCACAGATGTGCTCGAAAATATATGGCGGTGGCTTGTGATCTCTGCGGTCTCTGGTAAACGTTTAACTTGGACAATGTTACTAATTGATTGCCGTCACCGAACTTAAGATATGGGGACAAAGACTAGTGTATTTCTATGAGCCCCGGAAACAACTTATTGATATGTCTACTCGTCTTGTTTGTCCGTCCGTCTATATTTATAAAGAAAGAAAAAATAGATGATAGTTACTAATTATTAACAGATATATTTTTTATTTTCACTGATATGTTCAGTAAAAATGTGCAATATTTAATATCAATAAGACAATACAATGTCTATTTTACTAAAATAATATTTCGTAATAGTTACCCGGAAGCAGCATCGTCAACAACGATGGTTGCTGACGGCGGATCGACAAATATGAGTGATGAGTGTCTGCGTAGCCAAAACGTGAGCAGGGCCGCAATAAGGGTTGACACGGCACCGGTCGCGGCCGCCACGCACGCGCTGCCGCCGCTCGCCGACACGAACACTCGGGCCCACATTGTTTGCCAAACTGACTCGGTCCACGTAGAATACGTACCCGATTTAAAATCATAATCTGCAATTTTAAAAAACCATTTTAGATTCCGGTTTTTGTGAGATATTTCAAAACATTAAGCCATCACACAGAGTTATTAATCTAGTTGCTTACCCAACGTCAACGTTGACAAAATGACTACATTTCGTCTTTAATAGTTAATAAATATTACTACTAAAAAAACTCATTTACCTGATATTATAAAAGCTGGACTGAGTGCTTGACTAAAGTTCATTGTGGTCTCGATGCAAACGCCACTGTGATTCCATCCTTTTAACCAGAGCCTTGTATATCCCTAAAAAAGAAATGTAAACACGAAAATAATGTCATGACCATGGCTTAGAAGTTCTGTGTCTTCCTTATTGGTATAAATTCCAACAATACTGTTACGCCGGCAAGAGTAACGGCATCTATCGCCGAATAACCGAAGGAATATCGAAGGCACTAGTAAAATCAAGAAGTACACCGCCATCTATTAGCCGAAACACATATCGAAGCTACTCGACTTGCCCAGAATGTACTCGATAAATCTAAGGATGTCGTATTGACTATAAAAGCGTTGCAGAGATGGCACGCAGTCAGTTAGTAATTGGATCTACTCGAAGCGAAACAGCGAATCACATGAAGCGAAGCGGAAGAAGTGAATTAAGAATTTTAAAGTGTTCTAAGTGCTAATACAGTTGTAATTTATACTTCGGTAGAATTTTATTTATTCCAAACCCCAGCGCGTAACAATACTCTAAGTAGGGTGACCTCAATTTTTAAATAAAAAAAAACAACGGAAGTTCTTTTGGCTGGGCCTAACGAAAATAAATGCAAAGCAAGGTTCACTAACCGATTCTGGTTTCGTTTCGCACTGTGATTTGTTGAGCGAGAGTTGCGTGCCGGTGAGCAAGGCCAGCAGGTGTCCGGCGAACACGGGCGCCACCGTGTTCCAGGAGGTCACGCCCACGTACAGCGGCGCCGGCCCCGCGCCCTCCCGCGGCCCCTCGTTGCCGCCAAACTCCGCAGCCGATAACAACTTGCACGTCTCGTTCTTCAGGAAACAGTACAGCATTTCATCTACCTGTTTATCGTTGACAAATAATGTATGATCATTAGCTTTTAAACACAATAAAGCTTTATTAAAATCTAACGGATCAATTGGCTAAGTCAGATCTGCAAAAATATGAAAAAAAATAATGGTAATTTGAAGTCAATGTTTATATCTAACTGACATATTATTTGGAACATTAACCATTTTGTATTATCTGTCTATTTTTTTAATAATCTGTGTTCAACCTAAACAGTTCGTTACCTTCGATAGCATTCTCAATACTAATCTATGAGTAAATTAACTAATGGAATCTATGGAATCAAAAACAAAGATATAAAACCGGTATACTAGAGTTGATAAAGTCACAGCAATAAATTTAATAAAGTGGATTGTTATATGATAATAAACTTTTTTATGAGAAGTCTACATATCTCTCTAAAAAGGGATCTACAGTAAAACAGTTAAGGCTTAAAGAAAGGCAAACTCACCAAATGTGCGGACACTGTAATATTACCAGTGTACGCCTCACCAACAACTCTTTGATATAGTGCATGTGCTAAAGCCGTCGCCAACCGAGATATCTTTACTTGAGTGTCAGTTTCTTTCATCAAACCATCTGCTATGAGTTCAGCTGTGGATATAACTAGGAACAAGAAAATCATTATTACAACATACTATATTTGTAGCCATTAAAACATTTTGATTAAAAAAACATACATTTTATATATAGGTTTTAATTTAAAAAATATATAGCTTTTCTTACATGTAACATTGTTGATCATACTGATGTTTTTATAGGCATAAGCGATTTTGTCACTGTTGTCCAAAGCAGAGTTGTAGAAAACATTCGTGAAGGTCTCTTTGTGATCAACTAATAACATTTCAAGCATTTCACCGGTTTCTGTCACATTGGATAATATTCTTCTGAATGAATGTATAGATGACGGTGGCAGAGAGCCATTAAAGATTCCGGGTATTGTCATGTTGTAAGCATTCGACAATTGTTTCAGGAAGATTTGTATCTGCAAAAATACACACATATACACACCTATTTTTTATTTAAATCTCGTGTGAAAATAATTTAAATTATTGTCATTTACGATTAAATAACGAATTGAAGAGTCCTCCATAATTCGAATCGCGATTAATGTTCTTATATACATATTCTTATACTCACAAATAAGTTGACAAATAACGTGAACGATGTAAAGGCGTAGTCAAACAGTAAATTTTTTATTGAAGATTACAATTTTCAAAGGGTTTGGCAACATATAAGTTCGATAATATATTTATGTAGGTGTACGATATTGTGTAGTGTATACAATGTTTCAACAATGAGCATATTTCATATTATAATATTTGATAATAGCGAATCGTGGCACTGTTTAATTTGTCATTATAAACACTATTATTTAATGCGTTCTTACCATGTTTCTTTTAAACATTTAATAAGTTCCTTTAATCTTTGCGCTGTTCCGGTGACCACGGCTAGTTTTTATGATGTATAAAGCCGCTAAAGTTTAAAACCAATTTCCGTATTAACTATGTCAAGTAAATGTTAACACCGCATTAATGGAATTAAGAGAGGCGACTTACGTCATTTTCACCGTCATTTATTGTCGATGGCGCGAGGGTAGGTACAAAAGCGTTCAAAGGCCATATATTTTCGTTCACATAATCTGATAAGGATCCACCGATCTGGCCGATTTCAACGTGTAGTTTTACATCGGTCGGTGCCAGCGGTGCATTCGGCGGCCACACCCCACGCTTTATGTCGTAGGCAACTCGCTGTGAACCAATATAATCAAATGCTTCCCCGTTGAATAACGTCCATAATATATTCGTATCTGATTAAATAATAAAAAAAAAAATCAATTCTAGCATTTCAATTAATTACATTATTAGTACAATGTGTGTTGGAGGTGTCCTCACAAATGAAGTAGGGTTAAAAAAAATATTTCTTGTTTTGTTTTGCTCGCTTATTTATTTCAGAAAAATACAGTTAACTCGCGAGGTCGTTGACCTCGTGTGAACCCTAGAAGCTAAGGAAGTTTTACATTGCGAATTTACGAAATATGTATTAACGTTTCAAATCGGCATTTATCTCGCTCTGCTTAGTAACTGATTGTTGTTTGGTCATTCCGTATAATGTCTTTTTTAATGGTTAGATGGGTGGAAGAGCTCACAGCCCACCCGATGTTGAGTGGTTACTGGAACTCATTGATATTGATATGTAGATACCAAAACCCACATGAGGTTTAAGTTTCAATTTCGAGAGAAATATGCAAGGTGGTAGTACCATCCCGTGCGAAATCACAAGAAGCACTACTACCAGTAAAATAAAACTTCGTACAACACATAAAACCTAAGTATATTGAGTATTGAGATATTGACGTTCACATTCAGGCATTAAACTGTTGACGGCTGCGTCATTTCCGATAATAACACTTTTGTTTTTTACGATACATAAAAACCTACATTATTAATAGTATTCCTGATACTGTGTAATGGTATATTTTAAAAATATACGAATGTTAACTCACCGTAGAGATTCGATTTAGAAACTGGAATCAGCTGAGCTAATGCGGCGGCTGCTGATATCAGCGTGACTAGGCCGACGACAGAACTAGCAGCACCCGGAGACACCCCTACGAAATCAAAGGTTAGCTTCTACTGTGAAGAAATAAGACCTCGCAATAATATAAAACTGCCTATTTTTTCTGCCAACGGTACTAACTAATTTCGGATCTTCCCACTATCGGTGCTTTTAGGCATCCCAAGCGGCGGTTGCTGTACGGCGAGTAAATTAACGCATAGACACAGCCCACCGAGTTTCTCGCCGGATATTCTCAGTGGGTCGCGATTCAGATCCGGTGGTAGATTCAACGAAGCACTGCCCTTACTAGGGCTAGTCTTAGCAAATTCACAAGGCTGAGCCCCGTGAGCTCACCTACACGCTTGGTGAAGCTGGTATAATAACCCCTCGCGGTTACCACAGGTAAGCAATAAAGTCAATAAAATTTGACCTCACACCTCAAAGTGGGTGGCTAGATTACAGTTTGATGTCTATGGGGGGCTTTGATAAATTCGTCTATCTAGACCAATAAATGTTTATAGCTCTCAAAAGCCTATCTGTGCAGCATAAAACGGAAACAACTTCGAGACTGGTACTCTATAAATACATATATTATTTAATTTTAATTAAATTAGTATGTATCAAATTTTTATATGATTAACGTAGAGCGATAGGCTGCATGTTTAATTAATATGTACATTAAAAATAAACAAATGATCTAGAAAAACAACATATTAAACTTAATATATTGTTAAATGATTGTCTTGACTTGCGTTGCGAGTTTTCGAGACATTGCCGTACCGAAAAGGTGGCGTGCGAGTCGTTCAATAACTGTATTGCACATAACTTAGCCATTACATAAAGCGATAAAGTTTGAATAGTTATACAAGAAAAATATACCATCAAATAAAGAAGCTGAATCGATCCTTGCAGTCACCAACGTGATGGACTGCTTCTTAGATTCTTTCGTCTAAAAATTAAAGAAAAATTTAAAACATAACAACAACACAATTGTACAATGTATATAAAAAAGAACTTACTCTAGGGAAAAGGGAATAATAAACGTTTTGATCGCCAAGCGGATCGCACACTTTCGTTGTTGTTACTATCGTTGAGGTAGCTGACCTGGAACATACCGACACCATGAGCATCTGTCCAAACTATAGTTTATTTATTACATACTAGCGACCCGCCCTCGCTTCGCTTCGGAAACATTAAATTTTATTATTGATAGCTGAGTCTCGCGGTTATTGTCGTACCGCAGGTGACGCCGCGGGGTGAAGCTAGTCTAAAAGAAAAGTAACCTTTCCTTATATCATCAGCTACTTAGCAGTGAGTCTCGTCAAAATCGGTCCAGCCGTTTCAGAGATTAGTCGGAACAAACAGACAGACAGACATACAAAAATTGTAAAAATATGTTATTTTGGTGTATGTACCGTATATATATTCATATGCATATAGTAAAAACCGGTTATTTCAATACATATTACAAACAGACACTCCAATTTTATTTATATGTATAGATGGGTGGTTACACCGGAGCCCAGAGATATTAAAGTTAATACCGCCGTCCACCCCGTCAGTCGAGGTCGATGTCTAAATTGTATTGTACAACGACTGTTGACCTTCAGACCGGCACGCAGAGCTACTTTGCGGCAGCTTAGGTAGGATGGTGGTGTGTGCGGTAATTACGCTCCACAACGTAGTGACGCAATTCTTTTTTATTATATGTGTATTTTAATAAATATTTAATAATTTTATAATTGAAATTAATTTTACCTTCTCATGCAAACTTCGGTATTTATTGCAGCAAACATGAAGGAATTCAACTGTATTGAGCATAGCGACCGACCCCTTTGGTTGTTTTTATCGTAATTGAATCTAAAACAAACAAAAAAAAGGATTTTACATACTATTTTAAATTGGATAGGTGAAAACCCAAATCACATAGATGGGCTAACTGAATTTTCATTGTATAAATATAATGCATCAGGGCTGGAAAATCAGTACCTGTCAATTGTACTATTTGTACTGTAATACAAAGATGCATACATAGCTTTTCATGTTCTTAATTATTTTATGAGCTATGAAAGAGGAGTGCATGCGGCAGAGATGCGAATGTTGAGATGGATGTGTGGAGTGACAAGAATGGATAAGATAAAGAATGAGTATATCAGAGGAAGTGTGAAAGTGGCTCCGGTAAACAACAAATTATGGAGCGGACGGTTAGCGTGGTATGGACATGTGATGCGTAGAGAGAAGATGCATGTGACTAGGAGATGTATGGAAATGGTAGTGCAAGGTAGAAGGGGAAGAGGTCGACCGAAGAAGACATGGATGGAGTGTGTGAATGACGATATGAGAGAGAGAGAGGAGTGAGTGTTGAGATGACGGCTGATAGAAGAGAATGGAAGAGAAAAATTTGCTGTGCCGACCCCACCTAGTGGGATAAGGTGGTGGAGAAAAAGAAGAAGAATTATTTTATGAGCTAATGTAATGACTAATGAAAATCAGCAAGTGCCCTGCAACTATCCAATGATTAACCACTGAAATATTTTCTTACATCTTCTTACCTTAAACATCAGTACAATAAAATATATTTGAATTGATTTTTTTTTTAAATCTGCCTGTAGTCTGAATTGTGGGACACTGTTGACTTATCTTGTTGTGACCTAATCAAATTTATGCCAGTTTGTAAGTCACGTGTTTTTCAATCCTAATCTCAAACAAACAGATATAGACAAATATCAGGAATTTGAAACTAGGACACCCGTGGTGAATGGTAAAAATTTCAGGACTTTAATGTCTATATGGTGGAATTTAACATAGTGATATTATGTCTTCAAATATTTCAACTTTTTCTAAGCATAACACTAACAACATAAATGTATTTCATCAGAAGTAAATCTTTTTTTGGGTTTATGAAAAACCCTAAAACTTACCTTCCGAAACAATGACTGATTTTTTCAATTTCTTCATATCTTGATTCTGGTATGAAAAATATTGGAAATGGTATTTCTCTCTTTAATAAACCTGTGCCTTTTTCATTCCACACAACACCACCTTCCTTTGAAGATGAACACTGGTTTCCATCTGCTGATGAAAACTCATTTGGACATCTTGTGTCATGTGTAAAAAATGAGGGGCTATAACAAAGGTTTAAATTCGATATTAATATAATCCCCCCGCCTTTTCTCCCACACGGATTACTCTTTATATCATGTGAACGGAGACCCAGTCTTAGCAGTGGGATGAAAGTTTAACTATACAAATGGGAAAGGTAATCCATGATTGAAACTATTTCTATACAGTTTCCTCGAAACGATTTAATTGGGGCATAAAAACATAACACACAACTTTGTCTACACTTTTGTATTGATAATAATCTGTGTTGTGTAAACATCTAACATTTCTATAAAATTTAATTCCAAATATCTTTAATCATTTAATCATTATCATTAATAAGTTTCTCTAATATATCTTCTCATATTCTTCTACAAATAAATTTGGTTGTCAATGAAGACTACATGAAAATCTGTTCTAAATTTTACAAAGTATCAACAGTTGTTCCTTAAAACCCAAATGTGTGACCAGTTCAGAGCAGAAATAAGCAAGGTAATAGTCCCTACCCATGTAGGCTTACAATACATCTTACTACCAGCAAAGGCAGTAAATGTTAATTGACGACTGTATTATAATACACTGGTTTAGTGCTTAGAGAATACTGCTGGCCATTCTCCAATAAATTAGTCCACATTTATTACACCCCAGTCAAAAGATGGGCTGGTGTTCATCTATATATTCTAGTTGTAATTGTATTAATATCTCATATTAATTTTTACATATGAAAATAAATTCCTTCTACTTACATATCAGAAGCATTTTCATATGTAAGTACTCCTGCAATATTTGTTGGATGATCTATGAGAAACTCTACTAGGCCAAATTTTGATGTGCTGACAACAGCCATATATGGGCCTGCAGATGCATTAGTGGCAAGCCACAAAACATCATCATGATCTTGAACAAAATGTACAACTCCAACTGCACCTTTATCTGATGCTGCAATAATGACAAGTTTTTGTTTTAAATTACTTATAAAATACTAGCTGTGCAGTGACTTCATCCAAATAGGCTTAAATAGTAACTCGGAAATGCATATTTATATTAAGGTATGTATATAAAAAGTGCCGCAAGCAATGTTGTAAAAACAGGTAAATATGAATATATTGTTGAAGTGCATATTTCTCTGGTGAGACAGAACAATTGAAAAGAAATAATAATTGTAAAACCATTTGAAATCTTTTGAATATTTATTTAACTATCTTTTACTAGATGAAAATTAGGGATACCCTGTTAAAGCATAAGAGAGTTGAAATTTAAAGTATCTAGTTTGATAACATTACCTATAGCTGCATCCAAAGCAATCATGGATTTTGGGATGAAGGTTGGAGCAGCTATTATATTGCACATTTGAAAGATGAACATTACAAATCACTATTCACTATTCACTATGGACTTTATTCATTTTTCTCAAATTGAAATTTCTGCAAATATTTGATTTGTTCTATTTATTTATTCAATCAAGTGCAATCATATTATCTATAACCATAGATTTATTGCTGCATTCACTGTATTTTTTCTATAATATGTATTGTTGTAGTAGTAGTAGTAATAGTAGTACTGTATGTAATGTATCTCATCATCATCATCATCATCATCATCTGACCATCCGGTCTAGATCCCAACTAAAAAACTACACATTAATCAGATTTTTACAAAAGTAAGGATCCAGCCTTGAGATTCTAATGGATGGAAATAATAATAATATACCATGAATTCAAAATTATTTTGATGAGAATTGTATATTATATTCTTAAGATTAGAAGTGATATTCCATTTAAAAACTTCCAAAATGTTTTTGCAATATGCTATTTGTAATGTTTGATAACTTAATCCTTCACAAAATGTTTCACTTACTAGAGCAACCAGTTTGATGTGTGCCATTGAGCCGCCTAAAACAGGCTGCACTGCCTTCAATAGAGGAATATATCAGTTCATGTAGCCTTTCGCAACTATAACCTGTAAGTTTATGAAAATAAAGTAGATATATTCTAATGCATAACTTTTCTTTTTTTTGTTGTCTCATATTTTTGTGAATTTCTATTAAGTAAAATACTTTTATAGTTGTTATTAATGATTCAAGAGAGTTTCTGTCATGGTACTATCAACAGAAAACAGAACAGAACAAGCTACAAGCTGCGACTTGATTGGTATTAATTTATATGAGGTAGATATATAAAACTGTAGCAAAATTTCAATTTTAAATTCTTTGACAAGATTTCTGCTAAATTTTCAAAATGTAGTTTGGAAAATTCTTTTTGTGTTATGGTATGCCACCAATATCTTAATAATATAGGGTCATTTTATGATTATTTCGATTGTTTGCAATTGTATGTTGCTTTTATTTATTTACTAAAAATGAATGATTCTATGTTGTCATTCAAAAAGCATAACGTTTAACTTATTTTCGGTTTTTATCAGTAATGCATTAATGCTAAGCATAAAAAAATCACGTTACCTTTAAATATGAGTAAGATTATGGTAACTAACAAATATATATTTTTCAAAGACATTCTGCTTAGATTAACACTTCAGTCACATTCACTTTCCTTTGATCAACACGATTTCATACTAAGTAGCTGATATAATTGTAATACGCTCAGAAAATGAGAATGTTACAGGTTTTTATTTCTTTTTTAGGTGGACCTGGTAAGCTAATTTTAAAAATATTAGGTTTTCAATTATTATGGATCGTCTCTTTCATTCACTTGTTTCGGAATTAAGTGTATAATCTATGTTCGGAAATATATATATATTTTTTTAAAGAAATATTATGACGTGGTAACTGAGATCTTTAGGTCAAGTCTTATTTTAATTTTAATGATACGTAACTTTTTTAATGAAAATGATATTATAAAATGAGATGAGATGATATGGGATGAAATATAATTTCAGTAAAATGGTGGTCATTTACTGAGACTTTTTCAGTGGACTTTTTGGAAGAAACCGAGAAGTTATCTTCCAAAAAAAAAAGTTACGTTCAGCGGCTTTGTTTCTTTTACCACATTTGTGCACTTTCACAGATACTAAACAGTTAATAAACTACTGTTATTACACATTTAAACCTGAAGAAACGCTAATTAGACAAAATAAAACAAATCACACAACTTCACTCATCTCGTTTCATTTAAGTTCACCCCAGTTGATTAATGTCTCAAATTAATTAACTTCATTTTATTTCACTCCTTAATATCATTTTTCATAAGGCATGACCTAAAGGTCTTAGTTACCAGGTCATAAAATCCCTATAAAAAATACTATTTTTTGTTACTTTATTTAAATTGTTGGTACCGTACATATTTGTTTTGATAAATTTACGTCCAAAACTAAATAATGGGTCCCAAAAAAAATAAATCGCAATTATCGCAAGTTAGTTATGTTAGCCCAAACAAAAGGGCAAGAAAAGAAAACAAGGACAACTATCTATATATTTGTTTAAGAGATAGTGGACTTACGCTGAAAGACCCCCCAGAAAAAAATTGCGCTTCTCGTGAGTCAATTCAAATAATAAGAAACATTAAAAAGAATTTAGAAAGTCATTTCGATTACCCTCGAAACGTTGGAGAACTATTTGAAAATTTGCAGATAAGATGTCAGGATATGGATATTTTCAAACATTATCTTTTCCCAAATATCGTATTCAGAATAAAGGACAATTCTGAAGAACAACCCAGTAATGACAGTGTCATCAAAATATTACTGAGTGTTCCTATTTTACAACCTAAACTATGTGATTATATATTTGAGAAAGCAACTGATCAAGCAACTCAATCAAGCTTAGAGCAATGGATACAAATAATATTAAAATGCTTTTCAAGTCTGGACCACATAGTAGACAGTGAAAAAATGGCTATGAACTTAATTAACCTTTTGGAAATAACATCTGAAAAGATGGTTCGATTAAAAATAATTACAGCAATACCTGATATAATTGGAGATCAACAACATAATAATATAGCAATGGAAATCAGCAGAATATTAAATGAAGATCATGACCTTATTCCTGCCATATTAGATTGCTTGATATATCTAAACCTCTCAGATGAAGAGCAAGATCATTTACAAAAACAATCCCTTAATATTCTGAAGAGTCTGACAAAGTGTAATTACTTCCCTAATTTTGTAAAATTTCTATTAATGCCTAGCAGGTTGAATGAAAATGGATGCTTGGCAGCAATAGATGGCTTGAGAAAAGCTTTGGGATGGTCAACATTAACTATGAGTAGTGAAGATATTGCATCTAGTCAAGTTCTTACTGCTGCTGCTATCAGGAGCACTATGATCGCTTCGAAGCTGGTGGCAAATACTTGGTTAAAGGTTATTTCTCAATGCAAAACTAGTATTGAACATAAGTCTATAGACTTCATAATTCTTTTGGTTTTATATTCTACATCTGAAGATAGGCAGAAGCAAGTTGAAAGTTTAATAAAAAAACACGTGAAATCTGATGTTTTAAGAAATGACTTAGTGGATGAAGTATTTGACAGGTATAAACCAATATTAAGAGAATATTTAAAAAATTTAACAGACCTAGCAAAGGCATTTTTAAAATCAAATGGTGAAATGGAGATGGAATTATTTTCATCTCATATTTATGTATTGATGTTTAAAGAACTTGAAGACTGTCATCCAACAATTATAGCAGAACTCCTTCAACATGGTTTGAATTCAAAACAATGTGTTTCTAGTATATTGACAACATTAAATTATGTATTTAACATAAATAAGTCATTATTAAAACACCAAAGTCTACAAATATTATCATTATTGGATAGAATGGATGATATGGATTTAGCAGAAGTAAGAGCCACAATGAACTTATTATGTGGTTTAGCTTATGGTATAGAAAATTCATTCATTAAAGATGATATGCATATGATTATAAGAAAAGAGTTAAGTAGCTCTAATCCGAAAATTAAAGTTCAGGGTATTCTTGCTGGTGTCCATGCTGTAAAATATTTAATGATTGAACAAACTTTGGAAAATCTTGAGGAACAGCATACTAAAAATTCTAATGCAGTATGTCATTTGCCTGAAGGAAATCTAAAAGAAGCAGCACAAATAATAGAACTTATTAGCCAAAGCATAAAACAGTTTTCAGATATGATTGCTTTTTTCTATGATGAATTATCTCAGATAATATCAATGGCAGATTATATAAACCCACATTTTTTGTCCTGGATAACTAATGCAGCCACTAATGATTGGATTCAAAATTTTATTGTGGACCGAATAGAAAATGAAATAATTACAGGAATAAAATTAATTATGGAGTATGGATTGAATGATGACAATGAAGTAATTGCTATAAATATAGCAGGTATAACACTCCAACATGATGCAGAAATCAGTATGAATATATTATCACCTTTATTTCAACTAGTACAGTCTTTACATTTCAAGCAAAATAATGGTGATTTATCAAGTATAGATGCCTTACTGGGATGTCCAATTATTATGCCAAAATTTGATATTGACAACATTGAAGACCTAGATCAGTCTTTAGTGAGCAGTATACTAGACTGCTTAATTTATTCTGTTAATTGGTTTATAGAGCTTGTGAACGCTTTTTCAATTCAAAGTAATGATTCACTAAAAACAAAAACTTTAAAAAGAGTTTTAAACATAGAAGAGTTACAATTAAACATAACTGAAATAATTTCAAAATGTAAGAATTTGATATACAAATCTCCAACCTCCCTATTAAATATCAAGAAGTATACAAGTGATTTTAAGTCAAGAAAAATTACAAAATCATCCAATTACCCACCAACAACTTCAAAACAAAAAAAATGCCCTGATATCGTTGTAGAAACACTGAGATCTCAAGCAACTCAGTTACCTACATCTGTCAAAAGCAGATTAGATACATTGAATAGTATCTCGTTTCGACAAATTAATATAAATATTCTATTGTTACTCAAATCTCAATCATTTGACAAGGATTACAATATAAAATTAACCAATTTTGTTTTAAAATGTGGCAATGACATTTTGCAAAGGACAATGTTATCAAAAATTAAAAAGAACACATTTTTGTGTAAACAGGAGAGTTTTGCATATGATCCTAAAAAAGCTCTAGAATATGCAGAAAAAGTAAATGAAATACTACCCATAGCAATGGCACATTTAGAGACTATTACAAAATATCTTCAAAACAATATACTTGAAAATCAATCTAATGATAACGAAATAATTTATACACCAGAACTTATAAATTATATCACAGGCTTAGAACAAATCTATAAAATTCTCACTACACATTTTAGATGGATTGGATTTAAAAACCATCATAATGCATTATTAAAAACTTCCTTAAAAAAAGTTGTTAATTCAAACAATGACAAAGCACCTCTGAAGGATATATTACTTAATGTTGCTAATGTGTTTAAATATCACAAAAAATATTGCCTGCAGCTATCAACAGCAGTTTCACTAGTGGAATTGTTGAATTCTATCCAAACTCATTCGAATAATCAGAATATGCTCCAAATTGTTAAAGAATTGTCACACAACTTTTTATCGCAATCATGGAAAACACTTGATGGAGTACCAGAGAAAGGGTTAACTTTCAACCAAAACATAGACTTTTTGGCTTCGATCTATTTTATAAATAATGAAATTCTTGATCTAAAAACAATGAGTCTTGAATTAGCACATGATATAAAGTTACTAGAAAGCAAAAATGATACGTTACGTGGCTTAAAATGCATTAACAAAGTCAATTTTCCAATAATATTTAGAAACTTGGGAACTGCCGTTTTTGAAGCAGCAAAAAGGCGTTTGGATAAAGGTATGACAAATGCAGAACATTTAGTGCTATGGAGAGATATAGCCGACATTTTAAAATCTATGACTGAAATTGTAAAAACTCAAAAGAGCAATAGTTTAACAGCGTTCTTTAAAAATTCGATGCCAATTTTAAGACTGTTTACTTTACAAGGAATCCCAATTTTAAAATTAGAATTTAAAAATCAAACAGATGAAGTATTGCAAATTTTAAAAATCCTGCAACAGTCTACTCGGTTTTTACATTCTCTTTGTTGTCATTCTAGACTGAAGAAAAATAAAGCTTTATTAAACAAGGTACCTTTTGTAAAAAAAATACTAGAAACTCTTATCTATCAAGTGAAAGCGGCTCTTGCAGCAAATAACTGTTCAGAAGCATTTTGGATGGGAAATCTCAAAAATAAAGATATTCATGGAGAAGTAATTGCTTCTCAAGAAAGTATTGATGAAGAAGAATCCCTCGAGGACGGCGACGAACAATTATTGTCTGATGATGACGATTGTGACAACATTGATGATGAGCTTTTAAACCCTGACTCTAAGAGTTTAAGTGATATTATCTAGTTTAAATATTTTATACTATAAATTTTATTGGATAAGCCTATTTCGCCCCTTTTTATTTTTTTGTAACATTTTAGACTATCGCAAGTAGCTATGTAGATTTAAACATACTTGTGAAAGTTACAGATATGCGTTTTTGAGGTGGTCGCGCATCACGTTGTGACTTGATCTCGATTTGAAGAGAGTGGCATTTAAGACAAAATTAGAAAGTCGCTGAACGCAAAATGAAATGTTTTCCATTAACGTTTCAATTTCTTCATATTTCATTCAGCTTTGGGGTTTAAATAACAATTAAAGTGACAAATAAAGTTCACTTTTTTTCATGCACAATTTAATTGTAAAAATAATTTATTTTCTCTAG